GGACGGTGGAACTAGATACTTTCTAGATACGGGTACCTGGTTTGACAAGCACCTCAGGATGGATCAATGCTTTACCAATGATTATGCTGCCATGAAGCTTCACGTCTGGCACTGTCCGCGGGGCCATAGACGTCATCCGACGCTCGGCTTGGCGGAGGGCAACACCACAAGAGTATTGACTTGCGCGTAAACAGTTAGACGCCAAGAGCGACAAGTCGAGGCTCGTACTGCCTTTTCTTGGCCGAAGAAACTTGTCTTGTCGAACCCTGTGCCCAGCGCTTGTGTCAAACTAAGCCCTGTCAGGCCTGCCTTGATTTTTCCGCCGGCTTGATATACAAACGTCTTTCTTTGTTTCTTTATTGAGTATGTTGCCGGACTATTTGGCGCTTGCTTGTCCTGCCTTTTCTTGTCCTGTCCCTGACAAGGCTGCTAGTGACAGGTGGTAGTTGAAAGTGGAGAGGAAGTAAAAATATAGAGTAATGCTAGGTGGACAGTGCTATATTGCTAGGTGGACAGGTGTACGTGACGTAAGGTACTTAGCTTTTCATGTGCATAAGTACTTAATTCTATATACCGCTATAAAATCCTCCTTTAACACTCACTACTACCGCTATCATAAGTAAATTTATAACATCTATACCTATAAAGGAACTATTCATCTAGCCTAAGCGAAAAGGCATTTTTAAGTAAGCTTAGTGACGGCGCTGGCGGCGCTATAGAGAAATTTGGTGTTAATGGCGGCGGCGGTGCTAATAGTAGCAGCGGTGTTAATAGTAGCAGCGGCGCGTTGCCTAAATAATACTTCTATTTATATGAAGATTACTATATAGCATGAAATATCGCACGAAGTCATGTGCACCTGTCTACCTAGTAATGGCACTGTCTACCTAGCATTACTCATTAATAATTTCCAAATGGTGGCCATTTTTTTTTTAGTACCCGCTTGACCGGGTTCGCATAGTTTGATTCGGCGTGATGACGACTCGACGGGAAAGCTGAATCGTATAACGTAGCGTGTGCTTTTGATATTAGAGCCGTCTTGGCATAATCTGGCTACGAGCCAAACCTCATTTGAGCCAAGCCTCATTTGAGCCAAACCTCGTATAAAGGCCCTTTAAATAACAGTAGCCCGGCTGGTGCCAGCCCTCTGCTCCAGACGGTGGCCAGCCGTGAATAGGATCTGGTAGCAACATCTTACTATATACATGGTCACGTATGTGGTTGCTATCATAGAAAATGTGAAATTTATGTCTATTAATAGCTAGTAGGAAGCGGAAGCCGTCGGCTCTTATAGCCGGCAGCTACATGCCTCGCCACGTGGCGTGCTATAGGACGCTACGCTACGTGTTAGGCGAGTTGACACAGGATTACTCGATAAGGCCTTAATCAACATGATCCCTGTGATACGTTCAGATGAAGTGGTAAATATTATCGGTTCCTGCAACTTGAGGGAGATTATCGACGCTTTATGTAATGCGCGGGCTATGGTTATTCTTGACTGCGCCGTGCTAAAATGAGCGTAAGCAAGATTATTGCCTGAGTGGAGCACTTGCTTTTATTTCGCCGATGGGGCATTAAACCGGGGTCATCAGACTTGAAGGAGCCTCTTTCACTTTTCCGAGGTTTCATGGCGACGACCATGTTACTGCACCAGGATGCGTTATTCGGAGAATCCAGGCAGTTTGAAAACGAAGCATTGGTCGACCCTGTGGCAAAGTAATGTTTCAAACCTGTGTACCATTCAAACCTCACAAGTGGGGTTTGTGGCCATGGATGCAGAACCATGGGGACCAAAAAGCGTCGATGTTGCCGAGGTTGGATTATCTTTGATATGCCCCTTTGACTTGTCCGAGGTCGACCAGCCTCCAAAGACGCTCCAAGAGCTTCGAGGGCATCTCGGGATCGAAACTTACTCCATCAAAATTTGTGGCAGGGAGCAGGGCAAACGAGAACACTTCATCGAACAAAAGAGCAAGATGGTGCAGCCAAAAGATCTCGAAAACACGTTGGTTGAAATCATGGTGTCATTTCGGGAGAAGCTTGCCACTATCGCCAAAGCCAAGGGCTCTTTGACAGAGCCGCCACTGGTACTGATCGGGTTTGATCTTGCTTTTGAGCTTCGCTCGTTGTCTGCTTCGTACCCCAAGATCGCGGATTGCTTCACATCCTGGGTCGATCTGCAAGAACTGGTCAAAGAAGCAGCTCAGCTGGACAAGTCTCCGAGTTTGCGCGATTCACTGACGGCCCTTGGCTTTGGAATTGTCAGTACAGACGTTGGCTCACTGTGGAAGAAACACAGCGCAGGCAAGGATACCGTGCGCATTGCCGCAGTACTTGCGAGTCTATCATTGCGAGGGGCTGAGCAAGAGGTGCTGCCGATTACCTTTACATGGCATCGAAAATGGTCCCCTGCTAAGCAGTATATGAAGTACAGGGGTACTGGGAAGCTGTTCAAAAATGGACCACCCAAGCCAGCCGAATTGTTTCCCTTTACCGCCAAACTCAGCTTGTGCGAAGGTCCATCGCTGTCTGGCAAAGTGGAAGCAAGCGACATTATGAAACTATTTGCACAACACAACCCGACGGCTGTTGGAAGTTGCTGCCGTGACGGCTCCATGACCGCCTTTGTGAGTATGCCGAGCTTTGATGCGCTGGAGCAGTTTGTGGCCAGTATGGATGGTGCGCTGTGCGAGGCGTATGAAGGAACCTGGAACGTCGTGTCTATTTTTGACCCTACCGTGACGCCAGCGCGAACGGCAGAAGAGCTGGAAGAACTCTACAAGGAGAAGCTACAAGCAACAATAGTCGCCAAAAGAGAGCAGAGACTGAAAAAGAGGCTGGAGCAAGGGCGTGAGGATGCACGGTTGTAATTGGTTGAGTGTTATTAGATGACCAAGCAGCCTCACTCGTCTCATCAAGGGATGCTTTGCTTTGTGTGCTGGAGTTTTTGGGTATGGCATTGTTAGTTAGAGAGGTTAGAGAAGCATACTGATACCAATGTGATTTCGTTCGTCCTGCCAAGGGTCTTTGAGGTACATGATGAGGTTAGGCAGGGGCAAGCGGGGGTACGTCTGAATGCGAGCGAAGATGTGCGTGAAGCTGAACTAGTGTCTCGATAAAATGAAAGCAGGTACAGCTGTACCTATCTGATAAGCTATCTGCCAAGAGTCCGTCCATGGCTCAACTGTGTCTGGCACAAGTTACAACCCTCGACCTTCAGTTTGGCTCCAAGATCTAGATCTGGTCTATTATTAATTAGGGTCTTTGATCTCGATCTCGATCTCGGTCCTATTTTTGCCGGATGTATCTCTCGAGTCACAAATTGTTGGCTGGCGAGAGCAAACTGCCACAGGCAGTGACGAGCCTTGAAGGCGCACTAATCCGTTCTGGATATGGAAGAACTTTCTTTACTCGGTTGTACAGCCTAATCTCTATTCACCATCTCGTTTTTTGTTGCCGTCTTTGCCCATACAATATCTCGGGAACCACCGGTTGTTGGCTGGCAAGAGTAAATCGCTGCACGCCCATCACCTCGTCCTGGATATGGAATAAATTCACTCAACCCACCTGTACAGCCTCAATTCGGATTAATAAGTAAGGCTTACACTAATACTACTTAGTAGAATTCAAACAATTCAAGCAGTCAACCCGATTGGGGCGGAGTCCCACTTAAATAGCCTCTGGACCCACCGTTAGTTAATGCCTGCGCCACAACTTATATAAGTGGCACGGTGGCTAGGGGGCAAATAGGCAGAGGCGTCGCGCGTTGTAACCAGCCTAAAACGTCATTACCAAGCAACAACGAAATGACCCGGAACCCTTTAGAAACTTGGTCGGCATCTCTCAAAAAGCTCGAGTTCACCCGCGACGGCTTCCAATACCAAACAGATGAAATATTCCGAGATTTCCGCACTTGCTAGAAATATCGACCTCTTCGTATACCCAACTACCAGCATCACAGTCTGCGAACTGACATCTCCGTATCGCATTTGTAATCATCACCACCTCTCCTACCCATCTAAGCCTCCATCGTCCATTTCTGCCTCTACAACAAGCAAACATCACATACAGTTTGATATCATCAACGGCCTATTCTAGATGGCAGCAACCACCATGGCCGACCAAAAGCGATTGCACAGCCCTGAAAACTCAGACGCCGAGCCCGACAGCGACTGCATCACCCTCAGCATCAACCATCGCCAGGCGACATGCGACATGCAGTTCCCCCCCGACGCCACAGTCGTGCAGCTCTTTGAGGAGCTCGAGGAAACGCTCGGCATACCCGTGGCCAACCAAAAGATTCTCGTGCCAAAGGGCCCGCTGCTCAAGGCGCCCTTTAAGAATCCAGACATGGGCCTCGCCGAGCTCCAGGGCAAGACGCTCAAGCTCATGGGCTCCGCCTCGTGCGAGGTGCAGGCGGTGCAGACCATGTGCGAGCGCATCAAGCAGCGCGCCGCCGCGCGCCTGGCCCAGCGCGGAAAGGCCCGCCCGCACCGAAAGCCCGCCACCGGCGCCGCGAGCGCCGACGACACAAAGTACACGTTTCTCCAGGTCAAGCCCCTGCAGGGCCTGCCCCGGCCGGAGCGCAGCCTGGCGCTGCTCATGCGACTTAAGGATGATCCCGGCATCAAGGCGACGATGAAGAAGCGCAAGTACACGGTGGCGCTGCTGACGGAGATGGAGCCCCTCGCCAACACGCAGTCGACGCACGAGGGCACGTCGCGCATCCTCGGACTGAACCGCAACAAGGGCGAGGTCATTGAGCTGCGGCTGCGGACCGACGCTCACGACGGCTACCGCGACTACAAGACCATCCGCAAGACGCTGTGCCACGAGCTCGCCCACAACATCCACAGCGACCACGACCGCAACTTCTGGGACCTGTGCCACACCATCGAGCGCGAGGTGGACGCCGCGGACTGGAAGACGAGCGGGCACACGCTCGGTGAGACATCGCGCTACGTCGTCTCCGGTCAACAAGAGTATGGGGATGATGATGAAGAAGAAGACGGCGGCGGCTGGACCGGCGGCGAGTTTGTCCTCGGTGGGCATAGTGGTGGTGGTGACGGTACCGGCGGTGTCGCCACGGTAGGTGGCGGCGGCATCACGGCGGGGCTGAGCCGACGCGAGGTCCTCGCCCAAGCGGCCCTGGAGAGACAGCGCAAGGAGACGCAGGAGGAGGCCAAGGCTGTCGAGGCGGCCGAGAAAGGGTGGAGGCCATGTCAAAGGCAGCAGCCAAACGACGAGTCACCTAAATGAGCAAGTAAAGACAAAGATTTGCATTGTATATGGGGTTATTCTTTAGATACCATGGCATTCAGCGAGCGATGGCACATGCCGTATACTTTTTAAGTTGGTGTATTCAAAGTATGTAGCTTCGATGGCTTTTTGAAAGATATTACGAAGCTGTGACACTACCGGTCACACGTACAATCTCATTAGAGTAATGCAATTTATGCGTGATGGTAGGAGTGCCAAGTCACAAGTGACATGATACAACAACTTGACAAAAGACTCACAGACTCAGTCTGAATAACGGATACAAGACTTTACTGCTACAGCGTTCAAAATCCAAGAGATATACCCCCCCCAATTGGCATCCCCAATCAGTACGGCAACGGATCTAGGTCCAGCCCCGTGACACTGAGCCTAAACGCATCATTGCGCGAGTAGCTCCCCGCGGCGTCCAGGTCCAGCCGTCCGCGCACGCAATCCCGCATATCCACGTCCTGCCAGACCAAGCCCTCGGGATCCTCCCACTGCGGGCCCGCAATCACGTCCCCGTACGGCGAGACAATCGCGGATCCGCCGCGCGACAGCCATCCGGGCGCCATGCCCGCCGCCTTAGGCGTAGCGTCGCCAGCTTCTCCATTAGTAGTAACAGTAGTAGTAGTTGTTGTTGCGGGGGCGGGCTGGGTATCGTCGGCGCAGCTGAGAACAATTTCGTTGCCGTCGCTGTCAAAGACGGACCGACGCCGGGCGCGGCGGATCGGCGAGCTCGGCAGCGCAATTTCGTGGCCGTCGGCCGTGACTGCCGAGTTGCGACGGCGGCGTTGTGTCCTTGTCAGCGGCGACGATGGCTCCTCATTGGTTATACCGTTGATGTTGGTGGTGGTGGTGGTAGTATTGGTGGCAGAGGATGATGATGAAGAAGAAGAAGAAGACTCGCGGACGCACATGTTGCTGCTGACGACGAAGCAGCGGCCCTCGACGGCGACGGTGCGCATCAGCGCCATCCAGGCGTCGCGGTTGTCGGCGGTCGGGGCGAGGTAGAGGTTGACGTTTTGCGCGTAGAGGGCCTGTCGAAGCAGCGGCATGTAGTTTTCCCAGCAAATCGCCGCGGCGAGGTTGACGCGCACGCCGCGGAGGGTGGTGGACACGGCGCGCAGCGTGCTGGGGCTGCCCTGGCCCCAGCAGAGGCGTTCTGTGCCTGTCTGGAGAATTTGTTCTTGTTAGTCTTGGAGGGGTTTTTGGCAGACGGGAGATGGAGATGGGGAGAGGGAAAAAAAAAAAGAGTCCATGGAAACCGACAAAAAGAACAAACTTACAGGCATCACCTTGCGTCGCTTGCCCAGCATGCCCTCCTTGGGACACACATACACCACCGAGCAGTACAGCGTCCCGCCCGCCTTTTCAATCAAGCCGACAACCAAAAACACGCCCGTCTCCTGGGCAATGCGCTCCAGCTCCTCCCTCGTCCCGTCGCCTCTCTTCTTCGCCGCCTCCTCGCCGCCGCCGCCGCCGCCGCTGCCGCTGCCGCTGCCGCTGCCGCCCAGCTGCCTCTTGACCCACCTCTCGCCGGCGCCGCCCCCGCCCTCCCCGACAGTGTCGCCCAAGTCGACGGCATCGTCAAAGTAGCGCGCAAACTCCTCGCGGCCGTCGCGCGTGCGATCGCCAATGACGCAGCCGAAATGCGTGCCGCGCGGGTAGCCGCCAATGTAGGCCTCGGGGAGGAGGAGAAGGTCAATGTGCTGCTCGGCGGCGCGGGAGGCGAGCGCGGCGAGTTGGCGCAGGGTGGCGGCGCGGGTGGCCTGCGTGCCGGGGGAGGCGGTGCCGAGGCGGATAGTCGTAGTGGCCATTTGATAAAACTGCCGAAATCCCTAATGTATGATGAATATGCGTGTATCGTGTGCTGATTGATGGAGAGTGAGGGAAAGAAAGCAGCACGAGATGGTGTTTGCAAAGAACAGGCGGGTAGATTAGGTATGATGTCAGCCCATAAAGAGGCTGGTCCTCGATATTTAAGGAGGGGTCGACAGTTTTTGTCTTTTTTTTTTTTTTTCCCTTTTTTTTGGATAGCTCGACCTTTTATTACGTGCAGCGTGGTGGCTTGTTGGAGCTTGGTCGTGGGGGGTTTGGTGGCTGCTCAAGGTTTCGCGGGGCAATGGCCGTTACCAGCTTGGGCGCTAGGCAGTTGCCAAACAACAGTCGAAGCATTGATGTTTGTTGCTATCCCGCCATCTATGATTTATAAACAAAGCATCCATATAGTGCTGACAATTCGAATCCCACCTTTACTTGGTGTGCTCGACATCTTCCGAGTACCATCATCCCGCATCGTCCGTAGCCGTTTTCGGTCCGGCCCCACTACTTATTAGGAGTCCGGGGAAGCTGGGTGCTCATCGTGAGTCGGCTGCTGCTCATCGTGAGTCGAAGTGGGGGTTCAAGTGGAAAAAAATCTCGTATTGCGAATCTCAATCTCTTGGTATAGGAGATTGCGTATGATGCCAAGTCTTCGACGTGCTTTACTGATAAATTAGAATTCTCCTCTTCGACTCACTGTGGGCGTTGGCGACTGATCATGGGTCGCAGAACTTTACTGCAGTAAAGATGCATGCCGAAGTTTTCATTAATCGGGTCCCTGTAATTATAAGTACTATTAGCGCCGCACTTCCCAACGAATGATCTCGCTACGACAGGCGCTAAACGTCTGTAACATCTTCCGTAGTATAGTGGTCAGTATGCAAGCTTGTCACGCTTGAGACCCGGGTTCAATTCCCGGCGGGAGAGATCCGCCACGCTTCTCAGAAGCGCATTTTCTTTTTGCATGTTTTCGTTTTTTTGCAAACAAGTTGCCCATTCTATTTCCCTTGTGAATCAGTTGCCAATGCTATTTCTTAACCTGATACCTTAGACATGACCAATTGGAAATTTTTGCATGGCACATAAAATTTACATTGATTATTCACGACATGTACGCTCATCGCCTTTTGGACCTCGTCGATGCTGCAGGCGCAGGCTCAAACGCATCGTCGTCTGAAATCTCATCGTCGCTAATCTCAATGCCCTTGGTTTGAGTGCCCGACTTTTGAGAAAAGCTCAACGTCGTCTGCGTTCCCTGCCGGGCCCTTGTTGACGTCCTCGTTGCGGCCGTCTTCTTTGGTGCTGCGGCGGCCTTCTTTGCCGGGGCCGCTCGAACGGCTCGCTTCGGCGGCGGCGCGGGCTCTGGCTCTTCATCCGACTCCATCAGCACGTCTTCCTCTTCCTCTTCCTCCTCCACAGGCGCCTTGCGGCCGCGGCCTCTCGTGGTCGCGGCCTTTTTTGCAGGCGCCTTCTTCGCCGGGGCCTTTTTCGGTGCCGTTGCGCGTCGGGTTGATTTCGCGGGCGCTGCGTCTTCCTCGAGAACCGAGTCGGCTACCCGAGATGGCGCAGAGCCGGCGAGGAAGCTACCCTCGCTGACAGGCTCATATGTCCATGCGTCGGCCGAGTCTTCCCAGACACCGTCGAAATCGCTGTCCCACGTCACAGGTTTAGGTTTGAGCACGCGACGCCGCTCCGCATGTGTCGGCTTGACACCGCTTTCAAGTTGCTGTTCCACTCTGGTCCTGTAAATCTCCATGGCACTGTTTAGATCTTCGTCGTCAGATTCTAGCCCGAGCATCTGCTTCACTTGACCCGTCAAGTGTTCAGAAACAAAGAGCTCCATAGCATGCTTGTCATCCTTGGCGACGAACTGGTTTACAGCCTCGCCAAACGGCCCTTGAGGAAGAACTTTGAGTGATTGTGCAGAGAGAAAGTCTTGGACCAACGAGTCAACCTTGACCATGTCACCGCCGTCTTCCAGATTGTCCAGAACTTCCGTGGGGGCAACAGCTGTTGTCTTTCGCTGAACTGTCTTTTTGCGGTAAAAGTACACCACATCATTGGTATTCGCCACCTTGCCCACAAACCTGTTGGAGAATCGCTGCGGGTTTTCGCATTCAAACAGGCCGCCCTCTGGCGCGGTATACTCGACCTTGAGACGAATCAATGGCAGTGGCCGCTCCTCCAAAGCTTCTTGGTCTGTCTGAATGCTTTCCCACTCGGTGTTTGCCTCTTCAATCATTTCTTCTACTACTTCCATGAGTCTGCGCGTAACCTCTTGGCGGTTATCCTTCTTCTTGTCCAACCCCTTGAATCGCTTATCCTGATTCAGGATGATTTCTCTCGTGACAAAAGGCCGAACTGTTTTCAGTGGAATCTTTTCCATCTTGAACTCCTTTCCAGTGACACTGACGATAGCGACGTGCTTTTGAACGGCCTCACCTGGTACTAGTGATGTCGCTACTGAAGAGCCGGGCTGCATGACATGGAAGCCAGTCTCTGGGTTCTGTGTGGGATCGATCAAACATTCGTGCTCATGCCCCCATACGATCAAATTCATCCAATCCGGCAGCACATTTTCCGGCAGATATGAAGTTGCTGTGTGGGCATGGTGATTTTGATGCACAGCCAGTAGATTGAACCAGTCTCCGGTGTCGGCACTCGGCTTGAACCATTTAACTTTATGGTCTCGAAATGTGCGGAACATACGCTCGTCACGAACGTTACTCAAGCCAAAGAGCGCCAGTTTAGTCTCTCCTTTTTGCAGCAGGATCGGCCGTGCTTCAATATTGTCAGCTTCTGCTACTCGGCCGTAGTAGTTGAGCAGTCCACAAGCTTGCAAGAGATCGAGCGAACACAGGTTGCCGTCTCCAGAGGGATCGTCGTGGTTGCCATGTATAGAAAACACTGGAATCGAAATGTTGATGTCGGGGTCTTCGTAATTGACGTGGGGGAATGCGCCTTCGAAAACGGTCGCGGCGTCGGAGAGGAATTCGAGCGGACAAGGCTTCATGCCGAGGCAATTTTGTCGGAGCGTGCGCATGACCTGGTAAAGCGATTTTCGCGAGGGTTTGTTGTCGTGAAACAAGTCTCCAGCCAAAAGAACCATGTCCACCTGCGCAAGTCAGCAAGCGGTTCGATGTTGGTGTAGGGGCATCTATACGTCTTCGGTGCGGGCTAGTGTCATTATCTCGTCAAATGTACGCCAGCTGTCGTCTTTACGGATGGCATCCCGCTCCTCGAATCCGACATGGTTATCCGTCGCCACCAGGATCCGAATGGTATCCTGCTCTAATGTCACGGTTAACACTAGTGTCGACAGTGTTTGGCTGATTCGCTACTTACCATTGGATCCAGGCATTTTGCTGTTCACAACTCAGCAAAATTGCTTTCCCATGAAAAGTATCTAACTGAAGAGTTCCAAGTACTGCACATCCAAGAGGCTAATGTTGAGGCGCCTGGTTGGCAAACGGGCGGTTAAGTTGGGTGGGGTGGACGCGAGCTTCACGGTCGCCGTGACGCGAAATGGTGCGAAATCACGTGGAGCTTTAATTGAACAAGGAGGTGCAGCCGCAATTACACAGAATAGAAACTTTTTCATGCAAGTATTGAGGAAAAGAAAATTGCGATTTGAGATGCCAATCTATTATTTGAAAGCCATTATGTGTGCGCCAAAAGGTGATCAAAGATGCCATGTCTACCAAACTCCAGATATGTAATCGTGATGCAATGTGTATATCTCTAACACCATCGGAAAGAGAAAATGAAAGCGAAATATATACAAAAGAGTTAAATGAGAATGCCGCGCTTCTTCCAGCCACCAGGCCCCAGCCAAGCCCAAAGCAGTAGGACGCAGGCAATCCAGACGGTAATGGCTTCGCCCCAAAAGGTGGCTGAATAGCAGGACGCTCCGTAGCAGAAGAGCTCATCTCCGTCTCTATCGCCTGGCTCGGATGGCTGGCTGGGTTGGCTTGCACCTGACTGGTAACCGGCAGCGTAGACGAGACCCCAAAATGTCGAGCCCAGAGCAGGGAGTGTAGTTACAACGCCAAAGTTGGTGGCAAAGTTTTCAACGCCCCAGATGATTGTGACAATGAGTGGTGCAAGGCTGAAGATGGCACCGTAGCCAGCGCCGACAAAACCGGAGACAACCCAGAAGCGGTCGGCGTGGTTCTGGGCGGCACCGGAGGCGAGGAATGCTAGACCGAGGGACATGGCCAAGGCGAAGAAGAGCATGAATGCCACGCGAGAGATGGTAAATCGCTGCAGCCTCGAAGGACGGTGAATAGGGAGCTGTGCATGCTGCGTTTGGGGCGCGGGAGCGATCAGGTCGGTAATAGTCCCAACCAGCATGCGACCCAAGGTGCTCGTGAGTCCAAATATGGACACATGGGTAGCCGCCGAAGTATCGCGCCCAGAGCCTTGTGTGTTTGGGGGCGACAGAGTTCCAATGATGGTGCCAAGGTTGTTGATGAAGGCTTCACCGGGTCCGACCATTAGCAAAAACGCGAGCGCAAACGACCACATGGTATGATCTGCTAGGAATCTTTTCGTCTCAGCGTTGAGTACCCAGTTCTTCTTCCACTGAGCGTCGTCGTCATCTCTAAATGAAGCAGCAAGTAGCGGAGCGCTCTCTATGGAAGCCGGCGTACCGGGAGCGTTCGTTCCGTATGTCCTCGACGCACGCTGAAGCAGCGAACGATTGTCCAGAAGTCCGCTCTGCTCCAACTCCTCGATGGCGCCCTCTATCAAGTCCTCTTCATCGACGACCTTCAAAGTAAAGAAGCCCAAGACACCGACGGTGAGCAGGAGAAACGCCAAGAAGACGAATAAGCGGAATACGTCGACGTCACCCTTGGAGCCATCTGGCAGCCGCGTGTACAAGAAGTTGCTAGCACACTGGCTGATCAGCATGCCGCTGATGCCAAAGGCCGTAATGGGTAGGGCCAGGGCCAGGCCTCTGTGCTTGCCTTTGCCAAAGTTCTTGGCGCACGTCGAGACGGCAGAGATGTACATGGCGCAGGTAGCGGCGCCGATGCAGACAAACGCAAACACCATCAGGGGGTAAGTCTTTTCATTACCGCGCTCAGCCGACTTTCCTTGGCTGTTGTATTCAATGTCGAGCTTGCGGAAGAGGGTGGCGGCGGTGCCGTAGCCCGTGGCGAAGAGGAGGGCAGCAAGGAGGGAGAGCGGCGCAGGCCCGGCGCGGTCACACGCGTAGCCCATGACGGAGATGGGGAGGTAGAGGGCGATGGAGCTCCCGATGGCGACGCCATTGACCTGGAACTGGGTGTAGCGTAGACACGACTGGAACTTGGGCGCGTAGAGCGAGAAGACGGCATTGGAGCCGGCGCAGAGGGACATGAGGGTGGCGACGACGAGGGCGACGGCGCGGACGATCTTTTTGTGGCGGATTAGGCGGCGGCGCTCTGAGGTGTCGGACAGCGAAGCGCCATCGTCGCTGAGGGTATATGTGGAAATGTTGTCGTCGTCGTTGCCTTGGCTGGTGGCCACGGCCCGGTCATTGGACGGTACCATGGTAGCCTCGGCGGTGGACTCGGAAGGTTGTCGTGTGTCGGTGGGATGACAGGACAAGCAGGCAAAGTAGGTTCTGATAGAGGAAGATGGGGGCCAACTGAAGTCTAGAGTGAATGAATAGGATGAGATTGAGGGGAAAAGAGACAGGAGAGATGATCAGGTAGATTGCGTGCGCCGTGAGACAGTTTGCCCCAGTTGTCAGTCACGCTGGCAATCGGATGCGTCACGTAATTGCCCGTCGTGACCTGCCCGATCTGTGACATCCCGCCCCAGCCGCCCGCACGGTCAGCGTACCCGCTTATCAGTTGGCGGCTTAAATGGCGGGTGAGGCGCTGCAGGACCGCTGTATCGGTACCTGTAGGAACTTTTGGAATGTGGATTGTGAATAACGCATCGGTCCCAGTTCGCCGTCTTTTCCGTTCGAATACTTGGGAAGGGAAGAGAAAAAGGTCCTGTATATTTTGCTCTTTTTTTTTTTTTCAGTTTGAAGACCTGAAGGGAATGATGTGTCGCTGGCGCCTAGTTGCCATGCTAGCGGTGTCGGAGTGAATAATGGCCGCTTACTATCTCGATGTGGTATGTACCCATTGCGGATAAGCATTTGGTTGTAATTCATAAAGAAAGAACTAACTGAAAAAAAAAAAAAAAAAAAAAAAAAAGGTAAAAAGAACAAATAAGCAAGAGAAAAGAGCCACCAGAAAATGGCCAACTCGCCATGCTGTAGAGTATACCTCGTACAGATTACATGTAGATCAATCGACAATAGTTCTCTGCATCACTACCCTACGATCTTCCGACATCTTATTCGACGTTTACTCTTTCCCCCTCAGTGCCGCTTTCCATTGCCTCGGAGAAGGTTGGGCCGAAATTATGCTGAATAATCATCATGGTCGTGTGCAGGAGGCTGAGACAAATCAACACCTCCTGCTGTTTCGTCTCAACATCTGAGGCACGACAGCGCTTCTAGGCACCGCGACTCCTTTGCTGCTACTCCTTATTCCGAAAACTGTCAGCATGTCTGTGAAGGAGAGGTCTAGTGCCATAGTTGCCGTCCTTGGGCGCTCTCCACCGGCGGTTGCTTTCAATGACACTTCATCACGACGCAGGATTCGCTCTCATCAAGCAAGCTGAACCAAAAAAAAAAAAAAACAAAAGAAAAGAAGAAAAAGGAAGAAGAAAAGATAACAAAAAAAGAACAAAATTTCGATATGAATATAACCAGCACGGAGATTACATGGTCACCAGCCTTGGCAGGGTAACTTATGCGAAAGAACAGACTGCATTAATCAAACATTGTTCGCTGTGCTCCCCATTGCCTCGGCAGATCACGAGCCGGATTTCTTGCGCTCTTGGCAATCTTCGGCCCGGAGACAAGGCGAGCGTAAATCCTCAAAGGATTGCCAGATTTGCGTCTGATATGCAAAGCTAGAAGAAGCACACAGATCGCCGGATGTGCGTTTGATACGCAAAAGCTAAAGAAGGCACATTGATCGAGTAGGCTCCCAGGTGAACCGCTCGAAAGCATCAATGAAGGAACCCTACATGAGCCAGCGCAGGTCTCTTTGACAGATTTTCCAATTGGCAACCCCTCCCCGCCCAAGCCATCATGCTCGAAAATGCCCTATATATACATCATCTTCTACTTGCGGCTGCCCTTGCCAAAGTCTGGATTTTCGTTTCCAACGACAGGCTTCAAAACTTTGACCGCGTTACCCAGCCGTCCGTTGCCGCCGTCGAGCATAATGTTGGCAAAGCTGTCCGCCATGAGCTGCACACCAGTTCCAAAGTCCTGCTCGTCAAACGCGCAGTGGCCGCCCTTTGGCGTATTGTCCACCGTCTGCAGCGCGCCAATCTGGTTGTTCGACAGGCCCTGGTCCCTCGCCTCGCGCTCATACGCCGCCAGCGACTGCGGGATCAGCGGCTGCAAGAAGTCGAGCTCGTTGAACGTCGACTGCAGGTGGATGCGCGTGTTGGCGAGCGCGGCCGCCGCCTGCGGCTCAAACGGGACCTGCGGCTCCAGCGCGCCGCACGACAGCAGCACGCCGGCGTTGGTGTAGTTGCCCATGAAGGTGGGCATGAAGAAGCCCGAGAGCGTGAGGGAGCCGCCGCTGACGCCGGTGAAGAAGACGTTGGACCGGTTAAAGGCCACCATCTGGGGGAGCACGTCGGTGATGAGTTCATCAACGGCTGCAGAGTGCTCGGCGCCGTTGGGCCGCTGCACGCCCTTGCGGTCGCCGCTGCCCCATTTCAGGTCCTCGTCCGGCGCGAGCACCGCGACGCCCATCAGGTTCGATTTGACGCCCTGGTTAGGATACGCGAAGAAGGACTGCCCGCCGTCACCATGGAGAAGCACGTTGATGCCCATGTTGCCGTCGGTGTTGGGCGCGGCTTGCCCGCCAGGCACGCCCGAATCCTGGGTGAACTGGTCGGCGGGAGCGCTGACCCTGAAGCGGATGGGAAGTTGCCTGCATATATGGTTAGTCTTGAGGGATAGCTGATTGTTGAAGAATTGTGTTTGCCCGTACCTGATATTGACGGTCATGTCAAGTATAGTAGAGCCATCGTTAGCCTCGGATATGCCATCGGGCTCCTGAGCTGCCTTTTCTTGCGGAGTGAGCTGCTGTCCATTATTGTTGCCTCCATTGCCATTTCCATTTCCTTTGCCCTTCCCGTTGCCCTTCCCGTTGCCATTGTTGCCGTTACCATTGTTGCCGTTACCATTGTTGCCGTTACCATTGTTGCCGTTACCATTATTTCCGTTGCCATTATTTCCGTTGCCGTTTCCGTTGCCGTTTCCGTTGCCTCTGTTACCACCTCCATTTCCTCCGTTGCCGTTACCACCGCCTCCATTGCCGTTTCCGTTGCCTCCCTTGCCATTCCCATTGCCTTTCCCATTGCCTCCAATACTGTTACTATTGCCATTATTCCCGTTGCGAGGAGCAGCCTCGGCCAACGCCAGAAAAAGAACCACCAATGCACATAACAACGCGACCAGCGACCTTTTCGACTTGAACATGATGGAAAAAATGTATAACGAATGAGAAAGAGGTAATTTGGCCAAAAAAAAAAAAAAGAAAAAAACAATGAAATATTAGATGAAAAACTTCCGGACCGGCCGATGGAAAACAAAGTAGAACAGAGTACAAAAGTCTGGGGGAAAATGTCAGACGTAGAAAACGACGCAAAGCTTCATAATATGGTAAATGCCTCGAGTCGCCAGTAATTATTCGCTACAGTGTCACGAGGTTGTTTCTGATAATGAAACTGTCATGGTATTGGATCTTTAGTATCTGGTTTCGTCTGAATGGGACGCTAACTCGTGACAGGTTCAAGAGCGCGGTGCGGATCATTGGCAAGACTCATGCATCGAGCTCGTGATTCGCCGAGCTCTGGGGGGGCGTTCGGCCGACAAATTACGATGAATTGGGCTTTGCAAACTGTCATACCAGCTGCTCGTAAACGTCTCAGAATGGGCCTGGCTTGTATCACAACAAAACCCAGGAGTCAGACACGCCAAGGGGATAAGGCGGGCAGAAAGAAGAAGAAGAAAAGAAAAAAAAAAGGCCAGGGGCGCATGAAGCTGAAAAGCTTTATATTTAAGATTGTTTTACGCGTTAATTGGAAATCGCACGCATCATGCTAGGCATGTCAACGTGGTGTGTCGAGTGTTGTGTATACTTCGCAGTCCCACGCCGGCCCCGGCTGCGGTGGTTCTACCCGCGTGGGCGCCGCCAGGCTCGCGAGGGAGGTCATGGGATTGCCGTCCATGGGCGGCGGGATGGCCACGTTCTTAGCGCCCCTAAAGGTCGAGACGAGGATCGAGTCAGGCGCGGCGTAGACGATGAAGTCGTCGTCCATGAAGACGTGGTTGGCGATGCCGGCCCGGCGCTGGTGAAACGTGTCAATGGTGAGCGCGGGCTCGAGCAGGCGCGGGCGAATCGTGGCGCCAAACGCCTGCTGGGAGCTGGCAACGCACGCGACATTGTCCGTCGCGAGCAGCAGCTCGCTAAAGGTGCAGGGCTCGTGGATGACGTGCGACCGCGGCTGCCACAGCACCACCAGATAGTCGTCCCACGCCTGGATCTGGTGCCACTCGGCCCAGTCCCAGGTCGGGCGGTGGTATTTGGGGCTGATGAGGCACTTTTCGTACGCCCGGTGGACAAACGTCTCGGTGAGCACGTTGAAGCATACAAGCTTCCACTCGGACACGGCCAGCGGGCTCTTGTTCCCGTAGTAGTGAAGACATCTCTGACCTACGCCAAGCATGTAAAGCCCGTGGTTGTTCATCTTTTGACATCGTAATGAGAATCGAAGGATGCCGTCCGAGTAGGGATGAACTAGAGCGGGGTTCCGCGCCGGATTTGCCACTGTTGTCTGGTATCTCTGAACCGGCTGCCCCTGCTTATACTTGACTACAACAATGACATGAATGCGATCATCTGAAAGCCATGTTAGCCCTGTAAGACGCAATGTCTGTCGGACTTACCAAGTGGTACAGGCTTATACACCCAGACTAGGAAAAATACGCCATCCTCGGTTGGATGAAAAACGGCCCCGGGGACCTTGGACAAACAAGGTACGCATTCAGCAGGCGGAGCTGTTAGTGCAGAAGCCGTCGCTTGGAGGTCTACGGTTGATCCGCCCCATGACCAGTAGAATGCGTCGCCACTGCTGGTCACGACAACTACAGCGCCATCTTGAGCGTAGCATTTGGCAAAGCGGCCTGGCAATGAGAGCCGCCTCCATTCGTCGGCATTTCGATTCCATATTTGACTGAAACAGTCTTTGTTAGTGTAGCCCCCGTACTGGAACTGACAGCACTCACAGTTCACGGCAGGCTTGGCTGCCTGAGCTCAAGTCAATAGAGCTAAACACGATCAGCTTCCTCGTCACGGCCTGAAGATCCAGTTTGCGACCGGCGACTAGGCTCGCTCCGAAACTACATCTGCTGCGGGTCAAAGTCTTGAGATCATTGATCACCACAAAGGCCTCATCCGGCTGCCAAGCCAGCAGACCGTCGTCATAGCACATCTGCAAGGTGCCAAGTCCAAAGTCAAGACACTCTGTGCGATGAAAGACATCCTCGCGCATGTCCTCTAAGCTCAGCGCGTCATTGCCCCCGACAAACCATCTCGACGAAAAGTACGCATTCGGCCGCGGTCGCAGGTACTTGTCAATGTACAGCTTTGCGTACTCGGAAAACAGCGACTGGCCTTGTGAGTGAGGCAGGTTGTACTTTTCCGTCAGGCCGGAAAAGTAGCGGCAGCAAAGCGACGCGGTGACGGGGCCAAAGGTCCACGCTGCGCGCCAGCTGCGGCAGACGTTGGCGCACGTGAGCAGGTCCTCGAGCTCGAGATACTGCGAAACGTAAATAATGATTTCGACGGGTAGTTCCTCGAGCGAGGCGAGCTTGATGCGGGACTCGTGAACGTGCATGCGCCGCCTGAGATAGATCAAATCCCAGGACGACAAGCTGTCGAGGAAGCCATCGATGACTAGCTGCCTCTCGTGCGTATCCAGTCCTTGAAGGTCCATGAACACTCGAAAGCGCACCAAGACTGTATATTCTCAGTGCTGGTATAATGTTGAAATGGCGCGTTGCTATGCTGGAGATGGGGATGCCCCGAGACGGGGGCAGAGAAAAGGACTGCTGCGTCCAGGGTCTCCCCGTCTTATGAGTGAAAATGGGCAACTCAGGGTTGGGCAGCAGGCCGACGTTTGTGTGTGGGGGAAAGGGACTGGACTGGCGGCGTCTGCGCGATATTTATTCTTGGCGCACGAAAAGGGAACAGCTCGATGGCTTGGATGCATGCAACCCTGTGCAGCGGCCTTGCGCAGATTGCTGCAGCCGTGAGCTGAATATCGCTGGCCGAGGTGCATGTCGTCGCTGGCAGCGCGCGATCGGAGTTTTTGGCCACAGAGTCACAGTGCGCGGCACGTGTGGCGCCAGCACCGTGACCCAGTGTAATTCAACCGTATTGTCTGCATCGACTAAATTAGCAGGCGATTAGGAGATGCTCTGTAGATGATACGAAAACATCTGCTGAAAACCGTTTTCTGGGTTATGTAGGGCTTTTTTTCCCCCGCAAATTTGGAATTGCTGCCCTGCGCGTAATGACGCAGGCGCTCTATTGGCGATGACAGGGGACAATTGCTGTCCGACATCAATATGCATAGCCCATATCATGATCAAGAATATCATGTAGACCGTCATGTACGTCTCAAAGGCCCTCCATTTGCTTCCACCATGACTTGATTCCAGCTACATCACACCACGCCAGATCGACAGGGTCCTCGAACCACCACTCTTTTCCATTCTTGACATCACTCGCATACTTTTTCAAGCTACCACCATCAAATCGATGATTCTTGACACCAGTGAGAAGAACTGCGCTTCCAACCGCGGGGTTGAAGGACTCGGGGTCGAGAAACACTGTCAAGTGCACCTGCTTGGCGGTTGAGGGGTCCGTCAGTCGAGCCGTTCGCTGCTTGTACGGCGGCAGGTATGAGGACTCGACCGGTGATAGAGAGGCAATTATTGCAAGGATGTTGCATGTCCAATTCTGTGCATACGGCAATGACGGGATCGCATGCAGTGTGGTCAGCTTCAGCGGCACCTGATGATCAGCCCAGTCCCGAGGCAGCGCCACTGGGCCCCGTGCGCGCGACGATGGAGCTGCTTTGGGCGTGCTTGCCTTTTTCGAGTTGGAAAATACGATCCTCTCCATATTCTCGAAAGCGTCATCCATGTCAAAGTCATCACCGTAACCTGATGATGGCGGCTCGGTCTTGACTGAGATAGGCTCCTCCCTAGCTGCGGCACCGGGAACGAGTGATGGTGACGGAGGCATCATTTGTAGCTCTGACTCCTTGCGTTCGTCTTTCTTGGAAGACAAGTTCTCGTCGGCAGTCACCGCTTCGCCTCTGTATTGCTGAATCATTGCCCGATAGGAGTCGTTCCATCCAATGGTGATGAGATCGTGCAACGCGAGAAAGACCATTTTCTGATTCGTCTCGGCGCCAGCAGGGCCATCCTCGGAGTCCATAGCTTCCCATTCCAAATCAAACTGATCTACTTTGATGTAGAAGCCCGGCGAAACCTCGCCCGTTTCCACGAACCGGTGACAGTCGGCGCCGAGGAGCGCTTGCACGCAAAGATCGCCATCGCCAAGGAGAAGTCGTACGGCTTGCCAGCGACCAGTCTTTGACACTGGGATAATCTCAATGCCTTCGACGAGAAAAATGGTGCCTGGGGCGCAGTATCGTGTCCTCAGAAGATCTCGAATAACGGGCACAAGCGTGAATGAATCCTGGTCAGGCGCGGTCGTGATGGCGTTGGGATCGACGCTTGGAGCCTCACTTTCGGCCATGAGCGTCAGGTTAAGTCTTATGCATCTGACAGATTGGCGCGCCTTCCACCTCCAGACTTTTGTTTGCGCTGTGTCGTGTGTGCAAGTGCAGATGCATTCCTACCTGACGAGCGATTGGAGCCGTTGACGATGTATGCATGTAGCAGATGTGGATCGCTCAATCGGGGTGCGATCTTTTACCTAGTGACGTAAAATCATTGAAAGACTAAGCTATGTACGTAAATTGGCATAATTTCTGAAAATGGAGAGCGATTACCGAAAAGAATTAGAAATTGCTTTTGATGCATTGCAAAAGGCCTCAAGTCTCAGCCAGACTGTCGTTTCTGCCCAGGATAAGGCCGGCATTGAGAAGAATGATTTGAGCCCCGTCACCGTCGCCGATTTCGCAGTCCAGGGACTGCTCGCAGCAACTTTCAAAGGAGCATTTCCTGAAGACAATTTTGTCGGCGAGGAGGATGCATCACATTTGAGAAGCGATGATGCGCTTCTCGAACGCGTTTGGGAGCTCCTGAGCACCGTACCCCGTGACGGGCTTACAAAGGTGCCAGAGTCCAAAGAGCAGCTGTGTGATCTTGTCGATCTCTGCGGATCTGGTGTACCGGAGCGCAGAAGAACATGGGTCTTTGATCCCATCGATGGCACAAGAACTTATATGATGGGGCAAGTCTATGCCATCAATATTGCACTTCTAGTTGACGGACAGCAGATGCTTAGCGCTGTTGGCTGTCCCAACACATCAATGGATGCCAAGGCACCGATGAACAACCCAGACATTGACCCGTCCAACGGCGGCTGCATTGCCTTTGCTGTCAAGAATCATGGCTCATTTGTGCGACCCATGCACGGCGCGATTGACGCCGTGGCTACGCGAAGGCTTCCCCGGCAGCCGTCGGTAAGCAGCGCCAAGGACCTGCGCTTCGTCACGAGCCACGACATGGCCGACTCAATCCTCCCCGGGATCCACGAGCGTCTGACGGCGCGCCTGGGCATCGACTTTCCGGGCTGCGACCTGCTGCCGTGGGTGCTGCGCTGGACGGTGCTGGCCATGGGCCTCGGCGACACGACGGTGCAGGTCTACAAGAGCCGGCAGCGGCTGGGCAAGATCTGGGACCACGCGGGCGCGATGCTGCTCTACGAGGAGACGGGCGGCAAAATCACCGACATTGACGGCAAGCCGCTGGACTGGCTGGCGGGTCGCAAGTTTGTGCGCAACTTTGGGGTGGTCGCGGCGCCGCCAAGCATTCACGCGCTTGTATTGAAGCAGGTGCACGACACGTTGCGAGAAAATGGCCACGCGGACATGGTAGATGTGTAAAAAGAGAGGGTGAGGTTAAGATGGACGAGGTACCTGTGAGCTGAGACATGCTAGTGGCCCTTTTTCGCCATTTATATCGATATAATCATAGAAAAACTATTATTTAATATAATCTGCATTCATCGAGACGGGTTGTTAAGCCTCGTTTAGCAAAGCGAGGCTGCCAACTGCCCTGAATAAGTTTTGATCAAGACCAATTACGAGCCACAGGCCGGCTTGCGCTACTGCGAACCAGTGCGAAGGCAGCGAATCATGAACGAATCATGCAATTGAAAGCCACTCTCACAGCATGTAACAATCAAATCGTGGCTGCAGAATGCAACATCAGCTCTAATACATGCGGGGTCCAAGTCCAGAGACAGCAAATTACATTCGTGTCGGCGTCTGCGGGCTTCACCAAAACAGGCAGTTCTTTCACGTCGATCATTATACCCATCGGCATACACAAGTAAGCTGGGCGTTTTTTTTTTTGGCCGAGGACTTGAATCGGACCGAAGATGCATGAAAGCAAGTTGCCCGAGTCTAACCGTGCAGACGTGCTTCTGTGACGCTTTGGCTGCATGGACTGCAGGTGATATGGGGAACATACATGAGACGATACAGCACGCCAGCTTCCATGAGAGGCGCCACAGCGCTTTTTGAGTTGCTACGTATTGCATCAAAGTGGCCCGAGTCTGCGGCAAGATCCTCGGTAGCTTGCCGGCTTGCATCGTATGACGATGATGCGACTGGGATCTGCCGAGCTGTATTTCGAAAGTTTTTCTGTTTGAGATGGCGACATGGGCTGCGCTGAATGAAGACGACGGGAGTGAGGCTCGGTCCTTGCTTCCGTGGCTGCCTTTGGTGTAAGCCAGACTACCATGATGTGCTCTGAAAGATGAGTCGACGACACTCCGAGGATCGATTGGCCCCGGTCTCTTACTTGAACCCCAGACCTCGCCTGCTAAGCAGTTTTCGAGAAGTGAAACAGCTTTCCATGCGAAAGCGATAGAGTTTGGAGCTACATCGGCGAGTGGCCATACCAAGTGTGTGGAAATGCAGCAGTAAACCTGGCATGAGCAGTTTCGCCGCGATACTTTTGGCGCTTCCAGCTGGGATGGCAGTCGTAAGTCTGAAAGAAATAATATCTTAATCATGATATTCGAAATTTTGAGAAACTGTGGGCCACGAAGAATGCGTGAAAACAAGCTGCTGTTGTATCAGCGCTGGTATCAACATGGCCAGATTTTCATGTGCTGTTGCTTGCGGGTTTTTTTTTTCGCAGCAAGGACATTCAACAGATCCAAGACTCTTCGGAGCTGGCCGTCAAAACTCGCAAAACATTTTGCAGATGCGTAACTCTCCGTCTGGTATGTCGGAGGCTTTTTTGCGGCACAAGAAGAACAGAGGACTGCCTCGCTTCTTCGCGGCATGCCATTTTGTTAGACGAAGCAGGCCCGGTTGAGCAGAATATAATAGAAGCGCGCCACATGAACTGAGCGGGCGCAATATATTACTCTCGGTGTCTCAAGAAGGCATTCGACGATTTACGCCTGTTTTATGCGAAGAAAGCGGAGATTCTATAAAAGAGCTTTCGAACGCTTGGACGGGTTGTTTGCTTGGTGAGACTGTGCAGGACACATCGGGCACACTTACACGATCCCAATTTTGCCCACGACTGTTATCTGATTGATGGCTAAAAATGACTTTGTATCTAATTTATTTAATGTTTACTGCCTTTTTTTTTTCTAGTTTTTGTTCAGTCTTCTTTTCTGGGCGACGAAGGAACCTGATGATGGAGGTTCTACAGATTTTGACCAACTAATTAGCAGTATAGGTCGAAAGGGTGTTTTGTTGCGCCATGACGTTGAACTTTTGACGGTTGGTGTGCAAACCTTTAAACAGCCGCCTACTAACCTTGGAACGTTTTTATACCATAGCATGGCCGAGACGGTCATGGCCAGTCGCAGACACGCCCATCATGCACGTGCGGCATCTAGAAGCAGGCGATGGCCCTGTGAGCTGCACAGGGTAGGTAGGTTTGCTGATCACGACCGGGGACAGCTTTTGCGTGCGGGCGCGAACAATGACAGGAAATCTCTCATCAGAGTCGCATCGGAATCGTCGTGCTCAACCCTTGTCGAGAATGGCAGGCTGGCTGATAGGGCTGCCAGCACACGCACGCACGCACGCACGCACGCACGCGCATCTAACAGCAGATGCACTCTGATCCGTACCCCGTGGCGTCTTGCCGAGCGATGAATGGACCAAACGGGAACAATGACACCCTTTTTCCTTCTCCACACACGACACTACATTGCTGGGGTCTTGTTGTTGTTAGATGGGGTCACTACTACGGCTTGTTAGCTTAAGCTTCTTGGCCTAGACGGCTTGCTTGGCTACTTACGAAGTATGACTAGACCTCGTGAGAGGCTACCGGCAGCCGAAAAAGCAAGCCAAGATCCTCCCAGTTTCCCGTGTTCCCACTACAACAGCCGGCCACAAACCCTTTGTTGCCGGCGTCGCTCCACCCGCTTCATGCACCACGACGGTGGTCCCAAGCTTCTCATTTGGCCACAGCATGGCCCCGACTTACGATGCAAGGTTGTGTAATTTATTAGGAAACTGCTTGCTTTGTTGTTTTGGCTTCACCTTGGGACGCGTTCCGCTTTTTTTGCATTCCTGCGCTGTTTGTATCTTGGCGGCTTCTTGCTGCGCGAGCACATGCCGGGTGACGTGCATGGGCTGCTGTCAATACAAACCACATGGGCCCCCCTGCATATATAACGTACAGAGACCCTCCCCCGGCGATGAGATTTCCCTGTGATCTCATCTCTGCTCTTCGCAACGCACCTGGCCCTCTTTTGGGAACTGAGCATAAGTGGAGGTAATTGAACAGCGTCCAGTGTTCCTGATACAAGTAGCGAACCGCGCCTCGTGTAAGCCCCTCCACCCAGCTTCCGCTCTCATCATTGCTGCGCCGCGACTAAGTCACTCAATCACAGTAAACACTTTTTTTTTTCCCCCAACATGGTCAACTTTTTCAGAGCGGCCGCTGCCAGTGTTGCGGCCTTTGTCGCCGCCGCGCAGGCCGCCGCCGTGGGCAACACCTTTGCGTCGGGGTACCCCGGCTCGATCGAGGTGCGCTCCACGAGCCCGCTCACGATCCGGTACTCGACGTCGCAGCCCGACGACCGCAACTGGATCGGCATCTACCCAGCCGTCGACGGTGGCGGGCCGGACAACCAGCAGCAGGGCTCCAAGGCCTCCGTCAAGTGGGCATACGCGCCGGGTCTCGACGGCACCATTACCATCCCGACCGACGGCTTGCCCGGCGGCGACTACAAGGCCTACTTTCTCGCGCGCGACGCCTACCTCTGGCAGGGCGCGCCGGTGCAAGTTTCCCTCGACAAGAGCTATCCGGGCGTGCTCAAGGTCACCAGCGGGTACCCGCTGCGCGTGCAGTACAACACGACGCGGCCAAACGACAAAAACTGGATCGGCGTCTACTTTGCGTCGGGCGGCGGGCCGGACGCGGGCACGCAGCAGCCCAACGAGAGTTCCGTGCGGTGGGCGTACGCCGGCGAGGCGCAAGGGACCGTCGAGATCCCCACCGACGGCTTCGGCGACGGCGTGTACAAGGCGTACCTGCTCGCCGACAATGGCTACGAGTCGCTGGCGTCGCCGCAGATTTTTGCGCAGGGCAACGCCGTCTTCAAGGGCGCGCTCGTCGTCGACTACGCGGCCGACGCGTTTACGTTTCACTACACGACGCAGCGCGCCGCCGCCAACAACTGGATCGGCATCTGGCCGGCCGGGCACGGGCCTGACAGCCAGACGGGCGTCGGCGCCTCGCTGGCCTGGGAGTATGCGGCGGAAGGGCGCGGCGTGAAGAAAGTGGACGCGAGCAAGCTGGCCTCGGGACAGTACCAGGCGTTTTTCCTCGCGAGCGACAAGTACAACTGGCTTGCGAGCCCCATCACTATTCATAAGTGAGCGATTGATGAGACTCTGTCTTTGCGATACGGGAAGCAAACTACCTGCTTGCTTCTGCATATCATTTCCCAACTGAGGATGTTTGAAAGTCGACCGACTAATTGAAGCAATCATCTATGCGACGGCTATTGATCTGGAATCTTATTACAATTTCTCTTTGTTTGAGAGACGACACGATGATTTGCAACGAGGAATGTCACTACTCCACGAGTTTGAGCTACATCATTCAACATTAGGGCAGCTTGGGCAGCACTGTATATAGGAGAATCAGTACATACACAACACTATACATACAAATTTTTATCCTGCTGAATCTGCCGCCGTCGTGCTATCGTGTCCAGCTCCGCATTTTCTTGGAATCGTCATCCACGTCTATGGTTTGCAGCCCCAACTGACACTTGTCGCGTGTGATGCACGCAGATATTTTACAATCACGGTTTAATAACGAGATTCAAAAGAATAGTTGACATTGATCGTTATATACGGTTTAATAGTCAGTGTTAATTGAGTAGCTGACATTGCTCATTATATATCAACCAGGCCCCAAATGATATAATTGTCTTTCATCCATGGCGTTAGAGGGCAAGGCTCCTACTTGATGCACTCCAAGTCGATTAAATAAAGACACGCTTGACCTCAGTCTTGATGCAAGAGGGGTTCTGGGGCTTGCCGTTGCCGACGACCCAGTTGAGGGACTGGTATCTATAGCCGGAGTAGTCGGTAATGCAGGCGTACCACTGCTTGAGGGCCTTGAACTCGCCAGTCTTTGGAGGGCTGACGGTGTCGTCAATGTAGCTAAAGATGGCCAGCTCGTTGTCCTTGTCCCCGAATGCGACGTAGGTAGCAACGTAGGAGGGCTCAAACAGGGGATGGGCTATGTTGGTGTAAGGCTCGTAAAAGAACTGCATGGCCTCGGACTCGGTGGTGCCCTCTACATACCCGGGCGGTCAGTGGCTATCGGCCCAGTAGACCCGAGGTAACTCTCGACTTACGCAGAGGGATGTTCCAGACAAGTTTGCCGGAAGGACCGTAGCCCTCGACGGGGCTGGTGCTGCCCTCGGTGGTGTTTAGGTAGTAGGTCTGGTAGGCATCGTTGGTGGAGCCACCGATGCAGAGAGCCTCGATGGCGGCGCCAGAGTGGCAGGAAGAGATACTTTTGCCGTTAATTCTGCCGTCCGCAGAGTCCAGGATCAGCTTGAAGGGCTTGGACTGAATGTCGTCAGCGGCAGCGAGGCCGCTGAGGAGGACCGAGGTGGCGAGGGTGGTGAACTTCATGTTGAGAGAGTTGGTTGAGGTGGTGGAAGAGTTTTTTGTAAAGGAAAGAAGATTATCTGATCTCCTGGTAGAGAATGATGCTGAATGAGAGTGAAGGTAGACGAGAAGAGGGAATAGATATGTTTATATATGCACTTTACGAGTGCATCATCACGGAATCCGGGATATCACAACGATGTCGGCGGCTTGGACGGTCCGCGTCTTGGCACTTTGCATTCACAATACCGATATGCCAAACGAACTGAAGCGAACAAACAGCTTTGCTTCACAGAGTAAGTTGCCTATGCAAGAAGATGCCAAAAATACGATGCAGGGGACAGGATCAAGCGGCACGGTGCGAAGCCAGTAGCGCCAGAATATACGAGGAACGACTGGTGCGGGCTCGGCGCCGACGGGAGAGCAGCGGCCGAACATACATCTCGAGAAACCCGATGATGACGATGAGTGAGAGGAAAGGGACTAAATTTCCCACCAGCGGCACGATGGCTGCGCTATTAATCGTCGAGGGTGAGCATAATCTCCCACGGCGGGTTGTGGAAAGGCAGGCCCATGGCTGGGGTAATACGAGGCCGAGAGGTAGGCGAGATGGGAGCGGATGGTACGTTATGACGTCCGTGGCCCCGCAGGATAGCGGTGAGATTGCCGGGCTGACGGGGGAGGGGCAAAGCACGGCGAATTTTAGTTGATGCGCAGGCCGGGTCGGTGGTGATGATGATGATGGCTGATGAAGGAGCAGAGGAGGTCAGGGACGTGCATGTTCCGACGCCAAGACTGCCCTAGAAAACCCACAGAATGTGGGCGTTTATTAGGGCAGTCGGGGGCATCTTTTAGGCCCTCTTTTCGGAACTGCCCGCTAAGGATGACCCCCAGATCGCCCCAGGATGGCTTGGCAGCCGCGATAACTCGCTATAAGCCGCTAGTTACGAGAACGCCGGCTAACGAAATCCTTCTAAACACCTCACTCACCTCACGATATCCCACCTAAAAAAAATGCATCTTGTAGAAAATCATTGAGATTTCATTGTACACAAAGCAGCCATTCCTTCGTTCGACCAAAGCAGCCTGCATCTTCCGTGCCCCGCGGTTGGTGGATGAATCTAGGTACACGGGCTGCTCTAGCCTCCACTAATAAATAAGTCATTGTCCCCGTATTCTTCTGCCACCATCCTTTTCTTCATCCAACATCCACCCCCAGAGAGGCTTGCGATACCCCCTTTCGTCCCCACCAATCCCGCCTCTGATTCCTTGCTAAATCCGTTATTCGACCCATCGACTGCATTGGATTACGAGATTATCCCCGCTTGCCATCGCAAACTAATACATCTAAATTTGGTTCACGGACTTCGCTTGAGCTAGGAGCTGGATGAACTGCTCGACACCAAACGAACAATAGCCACGAAACGCCATCATCCACAGGCACGCTGCAGCAATCTGCCTGATGAATCCATCATTATACGTCTTGGCGCCCTCTTTAGGGGCCCGCGTTGCCTGTCATCGCACTTGACTGCCGAATTGCAGATGGTTCGGTTGTTCATCAAGTACTATGCTGACGACCTGTGATCTAGTCTGTTTGAAGCGGGCTTAGCCCATAGACGCCTTCGACTCGCTCAAGTAGCAATGACGAAAAAACCTAGCGAGCGAGAATGAAGCCCAAAGACCCCACCTGCTACGGAGACTTTCTCCTATGAAGCCTCAATAACGGCTAGGAGGACCCTCTTCTACACTGACATGATTATTTCCGGCGGCCATAACCCGATACAGCACTTTCTAGCTCTCCGAGCTAAAATTATAGTCTTGCCTAATCGTAATTATAATTCTACGCCATCATCTTTGAAGTTGGTATGATATCGAGGGCGTATACGCGTTTCAGACTTCCCTCATCGCATCAAGTATGCATTGAAGCTCCTTTGACCGTGGACACAGAAATAGGCTGCCAGCGCTTCTCAAGGAATTATTTTGTTTGCTTCCGAAGTTGAAGCGCCTGTGCGGGTCCGAACAGTCATTTTCTGCTCCTCTCAAGGAAATTGCAGTGGGCCGTGATGGCATGCGGAGTCCCTGGCTAGCCATGGAGTTGATCCTCGAAGGTTACCAGTCTCTCGCCGAAGTCCTCTGGAAACGTCACTCGAAATAGTCCAGATATAGTGAGTATGCGGCCGGCATCTGCAGAGCATCTGCAGCACATCCTCACCGCCTTCAGGATACAGTGTTAGGATTAGGTACCTTACCCCGCGCTGGTGGAAATACACCGGGAACTGGCCGTGGCTACGAGAGCAAGTGTTCCGCAACTTTGGTGATTCAGTACCAGACCGAGTCGTTTCGTCTCTGCTGCTATTTGACCTTGCGCACCTTTCTCTCGGACCTTCGAACATATTTTCAACAGCCACACCACCTCTTGTACATGCTACACATGATGACGGTTTCTTCGCACGTCATGAACTCCTCGTGGTTCGCAAGGCTGTTGGCAGACGACGTGGGTTTCCCATCGTATCGAGCTATGACTACAGCCCGGACTTACAATAAGAAACTCAGTTCCAGAAGGAGCGAGATGAAGAACGCGACCCCCCGACTACAATACATGCGCTATGTCTTGTCAACCGCAACCTAAACTTGTTCTTCTCTAGAGTGCTCTACAAGAACCTGAGCATAACATGGCGTTGGAGTCGGCATAGGGGGCAGCAGTTAGCAAAAAGTCGGCATCTTGCAGTCACAAAAGAGCTGTATGTATACTTTCCGCAAGGCGGCGTATACAAGGAAAAGCAGCCCGAAGTTGACAAGAGATCCAAAAATCTTCGAGCGCTGCTTCCAGAACTCTTTCGCAAGATGGCGAATTTGACTTTTATACACTGGTACAGTCCATCGTCAACGTTTCTTTGGGGGCTGATTTGCTGACAGTGCGCCGCAAATTAGCTATCCCGTCGATTTTAGTCACGTATGGCTACGGGCGATGGAGCAACTCCCTGGACTAGAGTCCCTCGTTCTGGAGAAGTTGTATGCTACTCACGGGACGGCAGTGAATAAAGCCATCGCCAACCGTTTGGAGACCTCTAGCGTTCTTGACAGCTCTTTAGCCTTTTCGGCCCTGAAAAGCCTCAAGCTTCATGAGATGCAATGGGGACTCAGAGAACCAACAACATTCTGGCACCGCTCAAGGGACGTGGACTGGCCAAAGTGCATTGCCTTTTTTATGCTCAACGCACGCCACCTGGCAGAGCTGCATCTATCGATGCTCTCACTAGAGTGTGACAATACGTTGGAGGCTGCCTGCAGGGAATACGCTGCACGCTGCAACGACGAACATCTGGTGCCACTCAAGAACCTGTGCCTGGACAAAAATATGCATACGCCGGCCGTGAGCGTCCTCCAAAAAGCTTTTGACTTGTCGGCTTTAGAGACGATCAAAGTGAGCGGGTGCAACGTCGCCGATGCCGTGGCAGCTGTCTTGGAGGTTTGCGCTCCGACTGTGACGCCAAACCTGCAAAGAATAACAATTGACCGCATACCACCGGAAAGCTGGTACATGATACCAGAGATCACGCAGGGCCGAACCTCTTTCAGGTCCGACCCTCTATGCTGGGGAAGAAGAGCAAATGTGTACGAGCTGGCTCGGCTGAGCAGGGCGCCGCAACTTTGGCTACCGCGTCCGAGGGGCTTTGATGATGGCTTTGATTACGGAGAACTCTTGAAAAGTGTCGCAAACTGCGACTGGCTTACGCATTTAGCGCTATGTCTGAAATTGGACCATCATCTCGGAGAGTTGCCATTGGCTTCTGAAGACAATGCCAACACAAACTACGTGAAATGCGACACGGAATTCAGCCACAGTGAATGGGATACTGAGTGCAGCTCCAGCCGCAAGGAAGCGGCAAACCTCGCGCAACTCGAGGCAGCGCTGCCAGTTCTCTGTGAAGTGCTCAAGACGCTTTCGCGACTCAAGACATTTTGCGTGCACTTTTTAAATGTCACGTGGGGAGGATTTTTGGATGACGATTCCGAGTGTGGTATCGTGACGGCAAAGTGGGTGGCAAAAGCGTGCCCGACTCTACAGTACATTGCCGTTCAAGATGAAGTATTTGTGGCGACGTGGCCGACGCATGCAGCGGGCTCGACGGAAGAGCGAGAACCTTTCGTGCAGTATATGACGCTGCGGACTGAATCGGAAGAAGCTTTAAACTTTCTTGACGAGTATGATGGTTTCAACTTTCAGGGAGACTCGGGATAGATCGAATGTCATGCTCCACGGCGGACAATGAAAGCTTGCATAGACAGGCCGCATTTTTCGAGTCGCAACCTGCATCAGTCACAAAAGATCATGGCAAAGCATGAAACATTGTCGCTCAATTACTCCTCGAAGAGCATTGAGCCGTCCTCGAAGAGCATTGAGCCGTCCGATTCATACCATTCAAAGGCATTTCGATTCTTTGTGTGAATTCTTTAGCTGTCATTTATGATTATGTATGATGCGAAGGGAAAACTGACAAGGGCCAAACACAACGAGTCACGTCACAGGATCAGACTACGAATTATAAGACTGACTTTAAAGCAGCGAATGAGAGCATACAGCGTGACATTTACAAATGGTCAAAATTTCAGCAACTTCTTTGTCGGCGCTGGCAGATTCTTTTGATAGAACGCCTGCTCTCAAGTCGAGCATCTCCAACACAAGGCCCTGGTCTAACCAAACTCAATTTATACCGAATTGTCTGATCTCAGCATCACACGCATGGCTCGCGTAGCGCTGATGGTGGCGCAGTCGCCAACATTATTTCAAGAGTCGTATTGTAAGCTCATACGTCAAACCCCCCAGCAAGTGACCTTGGAGCTCCTCCACAGTCAAATGACTGCTTACGTTACAAGGCTTTCATTTTCCTTTTGCTTTGCCTTGTAAAAGATTTTCGCCTAAATGGAATGATAAGACATATCGGAGTCATGGACCTGGTGATGCTTTTTTGTTCCTGGTTTTTGTATGGAGACTCCCGGCCTAGGCTAGGGTTCACAACAGCCAGCCACAGTCGTCAGACCTGTATCCGTAGTAGGCATCAATCATTGACAAAGATCCTGCACCCAAGACATGGCGTCGACAGGAAAATGATACTGCAGATCTCAGCTAGAACCGTCAATCGACATTTGTCTTTGATTTGTTCATTTGCTTTTCAGCTGCGATTCAGAGTTCGGCAACTCCTCCCCGAGACTGCAACAAGTGCTGTCTCAGTATACATGTCGGCTTCCGGCAATCGTTGGATGTGGCTGCATTTCACAACATCAGCTAGTTACCACCCGTCCGGAAAATATTCCGGCACAGTCAAGATGCAGGTGCCGATGGGATGAGATGCCTCGCACAGCAGTTCGGTCCCGACTGTACGGCAACATGATGGCTGCTTCTTCGATCAACGGGGGCATCGAGATTGTATATCATTACGTTCCAAATCGGGACCCATCACATAAAATAGGCGGTACGACGGATCCAGCTGATTCCACAATCAAGTATGTGACTACGTGATGACCAAAGACAGTGACAACGAAAGCGAGACCAGACCTGAGCACATAGTTCACATCAGCTTAGTCTCAATGCAAAGACTGGTTACATTAGAAAATACTACGCATGTCATAGTGATACTACTCGGTAGAGTCTACCCTAGTCGAGAAGTGTCAGTCTCAAGGTCTCGTGCTGAAGGCGGAGCGTCTTTTGTGACTTTGGCTGGTGAGGCTGCGCAGGGTAGGCATTTGCCAGCAATGGCAATGAGACATCTAATAGTCCGCACCGACGTATGGGGGGGGAATATTGAAAGACATAGTTGGAAGAAACAGATGTCATCTCCGGATACGGTTTGTCAGGATGTATTGACGACGATGCAGAGACCTACATGTATAAATGCGTCGCTCTCATCGCAGCAACTGGAAAGGTTGACTCCCCTCATCTGCACCTTTATTGGTATTTACCCCCCTCAAAGTCTGAAATCTTCAGCCTAGTCTCATCAATATGAAGAGCACTTCAATTCTTGTTCTGCCGCTCATTGGCGCCGGCGTCGAGGTCGCTCAGGCCCTCAGCGTGCCGTTCAACAACCTGCTGACTCGAGGCCAAGGGTATGCAACCCCCCCCCCCCCTCCCCGGTGAAAGCTTGGCATAAATTCTGACGCGCAATAGCTACAACACCTTTCTCGGCAAGGGCATGAAGCATGGCGCAGTCCAAGTCACGAAAAACGCCAAGCGTGGTGACAAGCCTGTGGAGGAGCAGCCCATGACGTTTGACTTTGAGCCGCCCACCGCCGACATGTCTGGCGTCAATGTCGAGGAATACTTTACGCCGCCGGATCCAGATGAGATTGACAAGATGCTCGCTGATGCGGAAGCTGCGGACAAGGAGCAAGGCAAGCCCAAAAGAGGTCTCGTGCTGCGAGACGCCCACGCCGATTGCGCTGGCAAGGTTGACGCCGAAACCAATCTTCTGACCAGCTATGAGTATGCATGCTTGATGAAGACAATTGATTGATTGATGACGGGCTGACAGGGAGTAGGAAGTACTTGAAGGCTCTCGACATTAGTGCTTCGGCTACCATTTCGGGCTGGGGCCAGAGTGCGTCCATGTCGGGTAAATACCTCGACAAGTCTGAGGTATACAGATTCAACTACAACAATGCGCGCCTGCTGATTGATTGTTTTTTTGGTGGTTAGTTTTCATCGAACAGCTTGATCTACGTGGCCAAGATTGAGGTGAAGAAGCAGCAAAATGTGGATGACAAGTTCAAATTCAACGACAAAATCTACAACAGCGCAACTTTTGATGCCGACTTTGGCGACCGATGGATTCGCGGTAAGAAAAAAAGCACCAGAGTCTCTTGAATTATATATGGGTGGGTGGGTGTCTGTGCTGATTTTTTATTTTCTCAGGTTTCGAAAACGGTGGCAAGATGATTGCTCGTCTCGTCATTACCGCCAAAAACAAGGCCAGCACAAAGGACATTCAGGCCAAGTAAGTCATTATTCTTCTTGGCGGACTATGAATTTCCAGAAACTGAAGCGCATGCAGTACCGAAGCCTCGTTGAAGTTTTGGGGCGTCTCTGCCGACATCAACGCCTCGATGAAGAAGAGCATGGATGAGCTGAGCAAGCAGGCCGAGATCAAGGTTTCGCTCTTCTACCAGGGCAGTCTGGGCAAAGTGCAAGAGGACCAGGGCTCGCCATCTTCCATTTCGTCGAGCTCGGCGCAGGATGCGTTTACGCAGGTCAAGAAGTGGTCCGATACGTTTCTGAAGAATGCATGCGAGCACGACTACGGCTATCGGTAAGGGAAACGGCCCCCCCCTCCTCCTCACGAAACTTGATCAAATAAATCTTTCCGAGATTGCTAACGCGCGAGGCGCGCGCGCGCGCACACACACACACACAGAGCCCTCCTGGACGAATACACCACGCTGGAAAACTTTCCTGCTGACCAAAAGGTCATCAACTATGGCGTCGCGGAGCAAATCTCGTACATTGTCCTCAGGGAGCTCGCCAAAATTGCAGAGATGAAGCAGGTCCTCAGCGAAAGCTCCGAGCTCAGCGAGACGGCGCGTCAGGACGTCGAGTTTGCCTACCTCGACATGGTGGAAGCGTGCCAGCAATGGACGAGCGCCACCGCCAAGGACCCTAGCCAGGCAAAGACGCAGGCAAAGGCTCTCCTGGAGAAGTTTGGGACCGAATTTTATGCCAAGTTCAAAAAGGACGTTGCCGTGGGCGTCAAGGACGGCGAAAAGTGCGGCACGCAGGGCGGCGGCAGCAAGTGCGCCGAGGGCCTGTGCTGCTCGAGCATCGGCTTCTGCGGCAAGACGGACAATCACTGCGGCTGGTTTTACGGCGCCTACTGCCAAAGGGAGTTTGGCTCGTGCTATGACGCGACGGCCTCGGCAGGACAGAAGTGCGGCAAGAAGAATGGGAACAAGGTGTGCTCGGCGGGCCTGTGCTGCTCTGAGGGTGAGAATGGCGTCTGCTCAAAGAAGCATGTCACACCCAACAACAACTATGGAAAGTGCCCTCAGTAGATGGTAGTAGATAGTGGAGAGGGGGATGGAATGGGCGAGGTTTCTTTTCCAAGTTACTCATGTAGTGAGCTCTAGTCGCTGTAAGGTCTTCTCTGTTTGGGAGTGGAAGCTCGACCGACATGGCGGTTCAATATAAGCTTTCCAAGTCGTAAACAGTCCAGCGACAGTGTAATCGCCTTCAGACCCGGATCGATTCTTGATGACTTGCGAATGGACAGACATGTTTTGCCTCCTGAGTGCATGTCGTCTCGCATTCTGGGCACATGATTGCCCAGGTATTGTTCATCCGAGCCATCTGGCCAGAGGTGAACTCGGTCGGCAGGTGTGCTGCAAAATGTTGGGCTCATGAAATTTCGTATACATAATCACCCATACCACTGGAGTTATTGCCAAAAAAGGGCCAATTTAGATGTAAACGGGTCTCAGTCGCTCGCTCGCCTCATAGAAACGCCCACGTGAAACTTGAGAACCAAGCTTTGTACCTGCGAGGAGGCAAGCGCGCTGTCGCTGTGATCTAGTTATACTGCCAATGCTTGCCCGCGAGTCTTGTGCGGAGCTTTCGGTACTTGTCGCTGCGTAAAGGATACTGCGGAGCATGCGACAATAAGTTGAAATTATTGCACGCATGCAAGATGCTGGCCTGAAAAATGCGCTCCTCTGTTCGGCAATGTGCATGTCGACTTGGCTGCAAACTTGTCGTCGCAACATGCACGTTAAAGAGATAGGATAACATGGGCAACCATCGTATAAGTACCTCAAGAGGACGAAATCATGTATGTACTATTACTATCGATACAGACTTCGAATGAATTGAACCGTTGCTAGAGCGGCGCCCGCGTCAATTAATAACATGCTTTGAAGCTCTATGCTCCTGCACACCAAGAGCGGCTCTCCAGGCCCAATGGTCAAGGTAGGCTCTTTCTCTTTGAGAGACCTAGCTTGGTTTTGACGGATTACATCTGTTGGCGTCCCAGAGTAGGCTTGTGTCTAATAAACGACCGAGGAATTTGCACTGGCCGCTACTTGGTACAGTGATTGAAATGCCTCAACTCTCCAGTTGTCCGGTTGCAGGTAGTTGCCGTGCTCGGCGCTGAAACCGAAGAGGGTAGGAGCGCTGTTTGAATATACCGGCCATGTGAAATTTTCTCCGGCTACTAGCATGTATTAGAATTTCAAGGCTCAGATCGCTTTCTGAGGACTTTACCTTTGTGAAAGTTCGGTGACCCTGTCACCACAAAACTAATCCACATACGACTCATGACTGTAGCAAGCTTTTCGTGTTTCTTTCGTAGAATCGGATCTTCTGGGAATGGATTCAAATGCCACCCAACTCCTTGAGTATTCCCAAATACATATGGAATCTCTTGAAAATGAGCCGCCCCCGAGGTTGAGGCATCAACATTGTTAGTTACCGTGTCGAAAAAATATCCATATGTCGCGATGTTGTTTTCGGCCCATTTCTGATTAGCAAGGCGCCGACCCGCAGAGAACATCATGTCACCTAGCCATAGAGTCGCCTTACCGTATCCAGACCCGAAACTTGGCCCTGGATTCGGAGAGACTGTCCCTAGGCCGGCGACGGAAGGTGTGTCCACCTCCTCTTGGTACAGCCTCGCCCAATTTTGGATTGTAGAGTTGTCGATAGACCAACCTTGCAGGCACGCTCTTACAAACTGTGCAAAGTCGTCATCTGTGTCGAAAGGTTTTGTCATTCGTAGTTGCGTAAAGGTAGCACCCTCATTCCGATTAGATCCAGTCAGCAATGGGACTTTTAGAAATCGGTTCTGCTGTAGGAGGGCCATGCTGTGATGCGGTAAGAAATCACCATCAACCGTAGGATAAAAAGGCACGATATTGCTCGCTTGATTGATCGAAGCCGTTGGAGCCTGACGCAAACACCCCAACGCATCCGCAGCGCAACTACAGCCGGTAGTATTGAGAACCAACTCGAAATCGGTTGCCCGTTGACTGGCGTTGCGGAGCGGCGCTCCCATGTAGAGGGGACCTCCGCTTTCAGCGATGGCTGCACGGAAAAGGCCGTCATCACGTCCGCCGTATGCAAGAAGTTGATATCCGATAGATATAGATCCAGCAGACTCTCCCATAACAGTGACCTTTGAAGGGTCTCCACCGAAATGGGCAATATTTTCCTGTACCCAAGCCAAAGCCTGACGCTGGTCATGCATGAAAATATTTGCGAGGCCAGCTTCCTCGATTGGCGGGCCAGATATCGAGCCCCAAACGCCGAGACGATAGTTGAAGCTGACAAAAATGATTGGGGAGCCCATACCAACAGCAGTCTTGACGGGGAAGGATCCGTTGTATCTCTGATCGGCGGCACTACCTTCCTCAAATCCGCCACCATGAAACCAGACGAGGACGGGAAGAGACGTATTCGATGGTAGACCTGCAGGGCGCACAATATTGAGATAAAGACAGTCTTCCGACTCTGTTGCCAGACTGTTCTGACTAAAGCCCACCAATCCCACTGAATTCCCCATGCACCACAGCCCATACGAATCAGCCACTCTTGTCCCATTCCAGCCTTTTGCTGGAGCAGGCAACTTGAATCGGAGGTTCGCAACCGGCGGTGAGGCAAACGGTATGCCTAGAAAAAAGTCTTGGTCGTAATGAGGGTTGTGATGGCCTTGTATAGTGCCATTTTTGATCTTTACGACTGGTGGTACTTGCGGCGAGCTTCGAGAAGCTGGAGCGGCTGATGCTGCGGCCAATAGTAGCCAGAAAGTAAGAAGAGAAGTGCTATACAGCAACAAGACCATATTTTTAAAACTTGTATTGTTGAGTATTAAAATGAAAGCAGGCGAATGTGCAAGATGCTTCAAACAATCGCCGGGACTTGCAGCTTTATAGCCCAAGTGTGCGCGAATTACCGACAAATTCCCCATTCACTACAAGACATCAGATCCAACCAGTCCGCTCACGAACAAGCAAGCTTCGGCTCGTCAGAACTTCAAGTCTTACAAGTGAATAGGCCGCTGAGTAATCGCGTCAAAGTGCAAACATTTACCAACAACTCTAGCAAGATCCACTACCGAGGGCCCCGACGGTTCGGAATCGGCGGGAATGACCCAGGCGAGGCCCTGGTTTAATGGTAAGGAGATCTAAAGACGGCACGTTGCACTGGCCTGGCTCCGCGTAAAAAGGTACGTTCGTGGCCCGCTTCCGTCCCGCCGTCCCGGCTCCCTAACCATGTCAGGAATGGCCAGCGTCGTCTGCATTGCCTTCCAAAAGTCAAAAATGGGTGCACCTCCGTGAGTCCGGCCTCTTCCTTAAATGATCGTTATATAAAGTTATAATAATAAACATTTAAACGTTATAATTAAACTAATAACTTTAATAAAGAAGAAAAAGCTAAAAAAAAAAGTTAATATTAATAAATAAAAAATCTTTACTAGTAAGTTTTAATTAGAAAAAGTAATAAAATAAAAATAATGAGAAAGGCTCCTTTGAATATAATTATATTATTGATTATATATATTTTATTACAGGTATTGGATTTTATATACACTCTCTTCCATAGGCCTGTATAGTCTATCACAGTGCTGAAACATGATATAGTGTAGTTTGTCCTATATACTGCCGTAGATAGAAGAGCGGAAGAAACCCGCCTACGTGGTGACAAGACGATTCCCCTTGGCGAAAGCGGCGAACATGTCGCGATGGGATATAACAAAGGGGCGACAGACCCCACGATGGGCACGAGGACACCGACTTTCCGACTGATGGGCAGGACTCTATCCTCAAATGGCAAAGGATCAAGGCACACTCCGTATTAAACGTTCGATTATTCAACTAGTTGATAACTAAGACTGCTTTGCGTAAAATCGCTCTCACCTGTGTATGTCAATCTAGCTGTCACAAGTCAAGAGGAAACAAACAACAATGGTAGTGCCAGATCATCAGATGCCCATCTGCTGCAACCGTAGTGCCATCGATGCCACTCCTTGGAGGCCCGCCGAGAGCGAGAAATCCGATCGAAGCTACGGATAGTCGCTGTCTGTCGGGGAAGTAAGGGGATAATGATGGTGTTTAGGTAGGTTTTCGGCCAGTGGCCGAGCCACAGGCCGCATTCAACAGAAGCGGCCGCTTTAACACTTATTGGCCCCTCACCTTGGCGCCCACATGCTATAGCGAAGAGAATAGATGTCGTCATCTTGTATACCGAGCCTGACAAAACAATTGGCCCATAGTGTTCTCTCGTGTTGATGCGGATCTTCTCGCAATTCGCTGGGCTATCAATTGACCGAATTTTCGCGTACTGACAATTACTTATTTACCCTGTTGCCGGATTACGTCTTGTATCCTTGCAAAATCTTCACTCTGCTCCACCATGTTCCAGAAGCTGCCTTTACTTGCTAGCAACTGCTGCGGCGCTCCATGTTCCACAACCTCGCCCTGACTTAGTACAAGTATCTCGTCAAAGTCTGCGACTGTGAGGAGCTTGTGTGCAACTACCAAGACAGTCATATCCCTGAAGTTTTCTCTGATTACTCCCTGGATGGCTGTCTCCGTGGCGTGGTCAACACCACTTGTAGCTTCGTCCAAAATGAGAATTCGAGATCTGTCTTCTAGTATCACACGGGCAAGACAGACGAGTTGGCGTTGTCCATGAGAGACATTCGAACCTCCAGAGTGGATAGTGCGGTCAAGATCAGCAGCAATGACATCTCCTTCCCGCTCAAAAGACGCGAAGTGCACGCTTCGCAGAGCACTAATGACTTCTTCGTCATCGTGCTTGCCAAAAACGTCCACATTTGATCGCAAGGTTCCAGAGAAAAGGAAAGCGTCCTGAGGTATAACGGTGACAGCATCGCGGACGCGTTTCCGGGATACTTGGGAAATGTCTTGGTCGTCAATCAGAATTTCGCCAGTCGTGGCATCGACAAAGCGCAGAAGAGAATTGATCAAGCTGGACTTGCCCGCGCCGGTGCGGCCAACGATTCCCAAACGCTGCCCCGCCTGAACAGAAAATGAAATGTTGCTCAGCGTCCACGGAAGATTTTCGCTGTATCGGACTCCTAGCTTTCGAACCTTGACTTGTCCGTGGCTGGGCCAATTCTCTGGGGTGACGGCCCCGTCCTGCTCGCCGTCCTCCTCCTCTGACGGAATGGATGCTAGCCCGAGGACACGATCAATGGCGTTAAGACCAGTCCTGGTGACGTTGATTTGACCGATTGTGATGTTGAGAGATTGACGAAGCTGGAGGGCCAATGTAATTGCTAGGCCCGTGCTCGAAGCTGTGCCTTTGCTGAGTATGGTCGCTGCTGTCACGGTCGCCACAAAAATGCTCCCCATGACTCCAAGCCGAATGCCCAACCAAGAGTGACCAATCACCAGGTGCGTGAAAGCCGAGTTACTTCTGTCTATATGTTCTCGCATTGCCTCAATGTAATACGCAGACTTGCCAAAGGCTCGGATGGTAGTAAGGCCTGACTGGGCGGAAGCAGTGTGGTTCGAAACCGGAAAATTGCAACTGTTCAAAATGGGGCGCAGTCTTTGGGACGCCTCTAGGGCCTTTCGAGCAATCACAGCATAGAAAGCTAGCATGAAAGCGCTAAACAATATAGTGTATGGCGATGATGAAAAGCTGTATCCAATGAGCAACGTTCTGTTTCTACGTTTTATCTTGGTAAGCACTTGCCTGCTAGCACAAATAAACAGAATATTCATTGTGGAGCTTAAAATACCAATGATCTGGGGTGCCATACGATGATCGATGGCATACATGTCAGAGTCGAGCGTCTGTATTACTTGTCCTGGTGGAGTGGAATCAATCCAAGAGAGTCGTGCTTTGAGAATCCGTCGAGTCAGGCTCTCGAATAGTTTTCTGGAGGAGTTATGGCCCATTCGAGTGAAGATCAAAGTTTGTACGCTCAGAAATATTGCGCTTGCTACCGAGAGCGACAGATAAATACCGATATCGAGCTTAGTAGAGTGCTGCTGGCTTATGGAATTGTCCCGAGACGTCCACTTCGCCAGCCACCAAGAATTGCTGGTAGAAAGCAAGCGGTAGCATAGAACGATCGGAACGGCAAGCATGTATCCATGCAAGCTTCCGGTCTTTTGAGCATATTTCTGCAGGGTCACCCAATAATTTGGGGGTTTAGAATGCTGTGTTGGCTTTTGCGTGGAAGTCGCTTCGTGGACTTGTTCGTCGGTCGCAATTGCGTGGGACTTTTCAGTCGTAGGCCCCAGCCCCAAGTCTTTGGCTTGGCCCAGAGAAGCCGGAGTCTGCTTGGAATCCTGAACATGTTTAACCGTAGCAGATCCGTTTTGTAAGGAGATGAGACATGTCGGAAGCTTGGAGCAATATTCTGGGTGATGTGTAGCCATAATCATGGTTCTCCCTCGCAAAAGATCTCCTCCAAGTGCAGCATCACAGAGATGTCTCGCAACGGCCGTATCCACGGCAGCCAATACATCTTCTGATATGATGAATTCAGCTGGTGAATACAAAGCTCTTGCGAAAGCCACTCGCCACTTTTGACCTCCACTGAGCAAAGAACCGCCTGTGCCAGCAGCGGTAAGATCGCCATTGCTCAACGTTCCGAGATCATGTGTAAGTGCGCACGCATGCAAAACTTTACGATAGCGATCTTCATCGAATTCATATCCAAAGCAGATATTCTCCTTGATCGTGCAGTCTTCGATCCAGGGGGGCTGTGAGACGAAGGCGGCAGATCCAGCGACAATACCCCTGGCTGTTGAGTGACCTGGTGAAGTGTCCACTGCAGGCTTGACAAGCTTACCAGATTGCACGATTGCTTCCTCTAATATCGAATACAACAGCAAGCTTTTTCCAGAGCCGACCTGGCCGGTGACTAGACTGATTCCATCCTTTGGAACTTCCAGGTCCACATTCTTCAAAATGGGCCCCTTCTCATCTTCAACCCAGGACAGATTTGCGTTTTGCAGTGATACTGTATCTCCCAGAATAGGATTTCGAGTCTGCTCTGGCTGTTGAAGGTATGTCAGAAGCTTTGAGTAGCTGATTCGCGCGCGGTGCAGTGACGTGAACCGAGCAGGGAGCTGCTTAATAACTGCATGCAGGTTGCTAAACAGATTGATAGAGGTAAAGGCCACCGAAGGGCTAAAATGGCCTGTTCTGAGTGCATATATAGATATAGTCACAGATGCAAAGAGAACGGGCCCAAGGGTCGCGACCAGATTGACCATCTCTTCATAGACACTGACCTTCCAAGCGGCTGCCAGGTTGTGGTTGCGTGCGGCAAAAATGCGTTTTTGCCAGAGGCACTCCATAGAAGACAGACGTATCTGACGAAGCCCACGGAGCGCTTCAGATACCAATGCAGAAGTTCGCTCAGTAGCCTCCATATGTTCTAATTGTGCTCGGCGCTGATATCTGGAGAGCTTGCGTGATAGCCAAATGGCTAATATCGGCAATGTCCCACCGATAATGACAGTTGTGAAGCCCATCAAACGCGACAGGTAGAAAGAATACAGAATTATCTTCAAGGCGGCGATCGGTAAATTATGGGCATTAAGAAAGGCCTGGGCAATAGTATTGCTGCGTGGTATCACTATCAGTCTGATACCCCTGAATCAGATTCCGGTGTCGGCTAACATACCAGTGGCTTTCAAGCACATCCATGACGCTTGGGGAATTTGTCGTATGCTTTCCCTCTGTGGATGTATCGCCGCTTGCCCATCGCAAGCGCATTGACTTTTCGAATGCCAATGACTGAAGGAGACCGAGCATCGGCAATTGAATGCGGGTGTGCCCGATCCAGCTGGACCAGTTGTCGCAAGCTGAGACGCAAAGGAGGCTCGCCGGAAGCAGTGCGACCCAGATCCAAGTCCAAGTGTCGATATCTAGGCCTTTCTCCAGACGTTGCAGGAGGCTATGGACGACGAAGCGACTGCCAAATTCTGATGCTGCCCCCAACAACACCAATGACGCCTGCAAGACCAAAGGCTTTCGGAACATCGTGGCAAGCTGCATCCATAGCGCTTTGGTCTGATTGCAAGAGTCAAATTGCTCTCTCAACGTGGTTGAAGACTGGCTCAAAGGTATTCTTGGCAAATTGTCCAAGTTCAACGTTGTAGACAGTGGTGGACTCTCGCTATGCAGACCCCACGAGAAGAAGATCCAGCCCAATATCGAAACGCCGCTCTCGTTCAAGACGGCAGTCCCGCGGCGAAAAACAACCGGGCGCCGAGGAACAGAGAGAAGGCTGAGAAAAACGGCTGCCGCAGCCATGAGCTGTATCCAAGGCAGCTTATGGTCCGAAAACACCCAATCGTACCAGAGGAAAAGGATCAGAGCCGCCGCTGACAAAGCCGTGTAATTCGACAATTTGTACCTTTGTGGAATACTCGTTCGCTGACACACAGTAATTGATTGACACGTCAGTAAAAGCTTTGGGACTCGCGTTAGCAAAAGTGATGGAGAGAAGGCGTGAAGTAACCATTCACCCATAAGACAGGACAAGTCCACTGCAGCAGGTCCCATTGAAATGGCTCAAGCTGTGCAGATCCATAACTAGATCGTAACATGGCCAAGGCCTGTCCAAGATGCGGAACAAATACAAGAGTACTGTGAGCCACTGGATTGAGTCGCGCTACTTTGGCCTCGGACTCGTTGGTAGCTTCGCCGTCGGCGTCTTTGTACGGCTGCGTGGGCGGCCGTCCATCGAGCCAAACGCAGCGAGCGAAGCAGGCAGCAGCCAGGCCCAAGCTGAGTACTGCGACATGAGAAGTGCTGAATGAAAGTGACTCCATGGTAGATTGTGTCTTGTTCATCATGAAGAACGCTTGTTACTCGAGGGCTTTTGTTGGGTAGAAGTCGCGAGGCTGGCACCCCCTCACGGCCATATGAGGGAACGGGGCTCTGGCGACGCCACGCCGGCAGCGATTATCCGTAACTTGTATTGGAACTTTTGCTATCGGCGGGCCTCCCGATGGGTGGATTCGATCGCACTACGGTTACAGCAGATGAGCCGTCTGTCAGATGAGGATCTGACATTACCGTTGGGGATGGCCCAAGAGGACGAAAGAGCGCCAACGGACTTGGCGATCGATGGTGGGCCAATCTTGGCCGAGTCCGCCAGTTTGCCTGTAGCTCGTTCATTATTCACCAGAGTATCGTTGCGTGTACAGTAAAGACATATTCTCCACGCAGGCTAAAGCAGCACATATGACGGTGCCGAATTGAAGTTTGATTGTTTCTTGATGGCGTGGTGATGATGCTTCTGCCAAGTTGAGTGCGAAACCCACTTCTACAGGGCGCAATCACGACCGTTGGGGGGGGGGGGCGGGGGTTCCACCACCACTACATCTCACTGGAGTAGCTTCATCACTTCCTTGTTCAGAGCGAATCACAGCTGCGCCGTTTAAAAAAAAAGGAAATTATTGAGATAATTATTGAGTCAAGTAAACTTGGTAATAATGAGCGAGACCTAATTCGAAAACGTTGAGCGCTCTCAGATGAGCACATATTGTACTGTGCAGACTCCAGCGATTTGTGTTCTGCGAGACAAATGCATGTGGCCGGCGGACTGTTCCAACCCCAAACAGCGAACCATTGCTCTGGATGAAGCTGTACCGAGACAGCTCATAGCAATTGATCTGCTGCACAATCAAACACAGGACAAAGTACAACTTTTTCGGTCAATGACAAGCTAGTAGCGAGTCTCTTCATATTCCTCCTCTTCAATTATGGGAGGGAGACCTCTGCGAGTCGGATCGTGACGGATTTCTTCTTACTCCGTTTCTTCGTAAATCGTGGGAGGAGGAGCTCTGCGAGTTGGGTCGTAACGAATTTCGTCGTACACCTTTTCCTCATAAATTGTGGGAGGAACTCGGCGCACGATGTCGCTATCATGCTCTTGCAGAGCGTCGAGTTTGGTCACTGCGGTGCTACCCAAGGCAGCGTAAAGCTTGGTGATGATGGCGGCGTACTTCATTTTGTCGAATTGAATTGAATACTTTTCAAAGCAGTCTCAATACTGGCTTCAATGACCTGACCGGCTCATAAGTAGACTGTATTGGTGGCGAAACACACTTTCCCGAACTCAGTCCTATTTCAACTACAATGGATCCCCGCAAGTTTCGCCTCGAAGGCTCTGGCAAGGGCCTTTTAGTGAAGCCAAGAAAAGGCAGCGCGATTTTATGGAACAATTTACATGCCAACGGCTCTGGTGATCTTCGAGTTGCTCACGCCGGACTGCCCGTTTCATCGGGCAGAAAAATCGGAATGAACATCTGGAGCAAGTTTTTTCTTGATAGACCAATGATTGGCGAGGCATGTTAGAGATTTTTAATCAATAATCCTTTTTTTTTCGAATTCTTTCCTTCTTCAGCACACTGTACCAAGGTGTAATTCCCACTACCACGTGGAGTCTACCTGCTCGCAGATAGTCTCCCTTTCCTAACCCTGAGGTCTCGTTTCTTTAGAGATATCAATCATGCGGATTGCTTTTGTGATTTCATCCAAAGGCAAGTCTTTGCGGCTCCGCGCCATGCGTGCAAAAACATCCAGATGTCATTACAAGATATGGGCGGTTTTGCGCGCTACCCGAATCTCTTATGGATAACACGACACATGCAAGCATTGCTAGACAAATCGTCCGGAGAATAGAACTGCAAGCGCGAATTGTTAGCTGTTTGCGTAGACTTATACATCTGAATTTCGTCTGGAGTGTGGGCTTTGACTTGCAGGTTTGACCAAACATCCTCTGGCAATATCTGGCCGCTGAGGAACAGACTAGCGCGTAGTAGCAACGGATGGATAGCCAATTATTTCCGGAATGGTATCCTTGTTCTCGTAAGGCATAAGCCTAGGTAGTTAGTGGCCGTTGTGATGGCGCCGGTGGCTAATATCAAGCAAAACACCTGTGATATTTTTAGCCTCTACTGCTAGGATCGTGTTACCAGTAGCTTACAGGGCCGAGCCTGCAGGGCCGAAACTCGTGCCTCGCCTGAGCTGCCCAGATTCGCTCGACAGCCACACTCTTGAGGTTGAATACTGTAAAAAAAGAAATATAATAACAATGATAATCAATAAATGAATGAATAAAAGAATTGCATATATTTAGTATGGTTGGGAAAAAACCCTGGACTAAAGACTCAAACTATAATACTAAATACTATGCAAGGCTCGCTCACGAGCGCATGTCTGCAGCGTGCACCAAGTCGAGGAGCTCAGAGTGCACGATGCATCTAGATGCAGCACTTCCAGCTACGGTCGGGGCAGCCAAAGTCCCAATAGACGGATCTCCTGTTGCTGGGGCAATTGGGCTTCCAGCACATGGCAGGTCGTCTGGGAGTGCCCTGCTGTGCGCAACCGATGCGCTGGGCATCGATGGGCTCGGAGGATTGGAGGGCAGCTCCTTCGTCGGGAGAAGCAAAGGCTTGATTGAAGGGCAGTTAAGTAAAGGCAAAGTAGATGTATGAACGGGAAGAAGATGGATCATGTAAGCTTACCGGTAGCGATGAGGCTGCGATGGAAAGTGTTAGTGAGATGTGCGTCACATTTCGGCAAAGGGTTTCTTACGCAAAGGTAGCAAGAAAGTTGAGAGGCTGCATCTTGATTGCTTTGGTAGTTTTAGAAACGTGGGGTTATAGCAAATGTAGAGTCAATTGGAGAGTTTGTAATTTGGATGATCTGGAAAGAAGCAGAGCAGGCGTAGGGGCGCAAACGTCCCTTTATATACTTGAACTTTACGTTTGGGCCACACGCTCGGAGAGTATCACGAAATGATCTACAAAAGCTGAAGTACCGGAAGCAATGCATTACGACCCGACAGATGATATCAAAATGAGACTCTTGGCCGAAAATAAACCGAGACTTTAATCCTTTCAAGCCCGAAGAGGTTGTTGAGCGACATATCAGCCGACGGTTCGATCCAATCAGATGGCAATCAACTTCAGGTTTGCTTTGATCGGGTCGAATATTATGCCGACATCTAGAGAAAAGGGTCTCTTTTGAGTAAGCCGTAGGGTCTTGGCCGAAGGCCCGGCCGACGATCCAGCGGGGAGCTGAAAACGTTGACGGTTAGGGTGACTATTACAGAACTATTGCGATGATAGAGTGGTATCGAATCAAACCCTGAATACCCTCAGCGAGTAACACAATGTTATAGTTGGTAAAGTTTGAGACTTTTGACTCTGGTGCTTGACTTTTACGTAACATGGCTTTGCGCAAGACGAGTCGAGCATCAGGGTCAGACTTTGCTAAAGCCAATAAAGTCAACCAAAGATGACTCACTTGGGAAGCGGCTTCGTTGAATGCTATGCATTAGTATACTGAGTATTGCTTTTTACTTCTGGATCTGATCAAAAAAAGAAAGAAAAGAAGAGGAAGAAGGGGGGCTCGGCTTGGCTCGGTGGTCTTTCTGCGAATGCTTCACAAATGGGTATGCTGCAATCGGTCTCGTGGGCGTTTCGGGTCATCATGAGCAGACTGTAACAAACGAGTGCATAAGATGTCACCATGGTTTATTGATGCTCTGCAGATGTGCTAGGCGCAGTCGTATGTGATGTTTGTGCATTATGCCTTTCAGGTCTGATGCAGTCGACGATACCCAACGACACTCCAGTCATGTAAGCCACGCAGCACTCGAAAAAACTGCAGTACTTGAAGGCAATAAACTCGAGCCAGTTGTCAAGTTTTGTTCTGAAGATTTGGCAAAGAAAATTACTTGGCACCAAAGGTGGCCAACAAAATCAGGCCGGAGAGAGTAAGTTGCGTGGACGAAAATACTAATGAGATGGAGATTGAATTGGAGTGACTGTCATTGGTCGTTGTCGTCCTAGTATGTAATTCTTCATGTTTCCGAGGAGGGGCAGTCTGCTTACACTGTCTGGCTTTGTTTCACTCCCGGCTGAACATGCTCGTAGATCAAGTGTGATCGACAGACCAATTTCGCTTTTACAGGCAACGTGAAAGGTAAGGTATCTGGTTCAAAGCCTTGGCCAGCTCAGAAGAAATGATCCGGAGGATCGGGACTCGGGCGCAGCCTTGAAAAAACTGCCCGCATTTGAACACCACATCTGCTCGTTCATGTCTTAGGCATCAACATCGGCAATATGATGCAGACTACATGTCGGCCATTATCCGCACCGATATGACATGTCCCATGCCCTTCAGTATGCCTGGTGCAGCTAACCTGCTCGCTGGCCTGCAATACCAAGATGTTGGCCGACTCCTCGCAATCTTTCCAGCAGCCAATAGCTTGGGTAGTTGTAGTTCCACCACCAATTTTGGTTGGTACCATGTCGATCGCATGTCTCGGATGCGGTGCTACCTGGCCAGGCCTCGATGCCACATCCTGTGGTTCTTCCGATACTAATTTAGTCTGTAGAAACTGTTCTTGTCCAAATCACAAAGTTTATTGTCCAAATCATAGTTAATCTCAAAGCCTGCGACCCAAGAAGCTGGGAGCTCCGAGGCCGACTATGTTGGATGAGAACATCTAGAGCGATCTGCTATCGTGGGGTAAGCCAGGTCTCCGGGGAACTGTAAAGCTGACCCCGCAAAAAAGGCTGCATACAAATGTGTCACTCTACCGTCTGGAAGTGTTCTGTCTCGGCCAAGGATCTCTCTTTTTGCTTTGTACAAGCTCTTTCTGCACCCTTGCGTGGCTGCAACGTTGTCTGCGTGCCCATGTCGCCCTAGTTTCAGCAAGGCCACATTGACACCCTGTCCATCGACGTGCTCTGAACGCAGTCCAAAGGTTATCTGAGACTGCGTCCTCAGCTCCTCTGGCAGGCTGAGACAAAAACATGACTTTTTGGTCTGCATTCTGCAGCTAATTATAAATAGTTGCGCTGCCAATGTTGGCTAGCAAGATGGCGGTCAGGCTGACATTACCCCGCATCGTTCAACGTGAGCCAATGCACATTTTGGACTGCTTCAATCTGAGCATCTCCTTGCCATCTCCTGCAAGACTGAAGAGTGCTCGCAAAAATAACGTTAATACCAAAATATGAAGTTTTAGTGCGGCCACACGGTGACAAGTCAGGTTTGAGTTGCTTGCTACTGTGGCGCTAGAGTCTGCTCAGCGCAAGGAGCTGCAGTCACAATGCTACTTCACGGGCATCCAAATCATCCTCAACATCGTTATTCGGGATTGAATGCAGACGCTATAGACAGTGATGGCCGCCCGACAGTAGCATTGAACACGGCCATAGACGGCTTGCTAAATGTTCAAGTTTAGCCGTAGTACCGTAGCGATGTCCTCGTATCATTAGAAGCGGCCCCTAGAGCTATTGACGACGAGGTAAGTCCGATAAATAATACAGAGCTGTATTGTGGTTGGGTAGACCTTATTGGTGTAGGTAGATGGTCTCTTCTGCGCGTTCCATACCATGAAATCCCGAAATGTCGACTGCGATCTGTCTCTCTTGCTACCCTATACAAATACCTCTCCGAGCTTTAGAAAGGGGACCCAATTGACGACACAGACTAGATCTCAAAATCTTCTTCTTTCTTCAGTATCCATGGCCGGACCCATCGTTAGCTACCAGATCAGGGCTCTCGACGAATATTTAACAATATATTTCACCAACGTATCTTCGCATGCCCCTGCGGCAAGTACAAACAATGCCAGCGATACTTTGCTATAATATCGACCTGGCTTTGTTTTTTTTCCTCCTTTTTTCTCTTAACGCAGTTACGAGCTGTCGTTAAGTAAAGAGGCAAGTTTACGCAGACTCAGATTACGGTCTATTCTGCCATCGTGTCTAATCAACGCAAATACTAGAAACGAGGGCGAAACAAATACGAACTGCAATCGGGAATAGGCTGTTGCCCAGCTCATCCGTTTCCATCTGCAGAATGGACTCGGAACGCACCTTTTCTTTCACTGTCCAGCGAGGAGACAAGAAAATTCAAGTTGAAAGCTGTCCACATTCCTCTACGACGGCACCCAGTTATCGCACAAGAATTCTTGACTAGCCGTCAGCACGTTGCCATGTACCCTACCATCTGCCAAGGGCGGGCTGTCTGGCTCGTTCAAGAGATGATCAACCTTTTGTCTTTTGGGGCTCATTGAGGTCTAGAAAGTGCCATTGTTCCATCTCCTCTGTGGAATGCGAGCACTCGAGACAAACAATCGCCGTACCTCTCTACCCACTGGACAATCCGCTCGACAAGGGATATCCGCAAAGACGTTTTCTTGGCGCCGATGGAAAGCTCTAGAATAGACGACGGGCGCGACTTGTCAACGCACCACGCCTATCGCGAGGAGCTCGCCTCTGTGTACCTCGTGCTCAAAGGCCCAAGTCGAGCCGCGTCCCAGCAAAGTCGAGAAAAGGGAGCAGACTGGCCTCGTCGGAGGCCCTACCGTCGCCCGTGATGAGGAAGTTGATGCACACGGCGTTCTTCGGCAGGAGATCGTTGAGCAAACTGTACGGTGGAAAGCAACGTTGAGCGGCGTGATGCGCGACAGCTCAGCCCGCAGGAAAGCTCGCAATGCCCTGCGTAGTCCCATGTGGATCATCCCCAGATTGAACAATGTACGCCGACAGCGCGGTCAATGTAGCCGTACTCGTCGATAATCCGGGGTGACAGTATGGAGTGACAGTATGGAGTGGCAATATGTATGGAAGTTGACCGCGAAGTCCAATAGAAGTCAGAGGGGTCAAGTGGGGCGCATGTTGCGAAGTCGGTGAGGATGCCAAGATGTGTTGCAGATGCACTCCAGGAACCATTCAATAGCCAGTCTCAATGAACAATCAGTCAATCAAAAAAGTAATTAGCTGCTGATTGACCGAGGAAGTTGACCGAGGACATTGGCCGAGAAAAACTAGCCATTGATTGCCCTGACTCTTGATTGCCTGGCTGTTGATTGTCTTGGAACAGGGGGGGTTTTTTGGGGGTGTCAATTGATGATGACCCGAATTCGTATGTTGTTAATAATGATAGTTGTCACGAGACTATCCCCCCCGGCCACGTTGTTTCGTACTTGAGGTTTTCTTGGCTAGGAACTGTCTGGCCGAAAAGTGACGCGAATTAGACCAATCAGCGACCCCGGTGCCAGAGACACGATTTTACATGGGGCCTCATTCCAATAGATTATTGCCTGATTGTTGATTGCCTGGCTGTTGATTGTTTGGCTGTTGATTGCCTGGCTATTGATTGATTGATTGATTGGCTGGTAATTGAGTGGCAGGTTCGGGCGCGTGGTCTTGATGCAGCAAACTTTAGAACTGTTGGTGGATCTAAAGTGAGACAGAGTTGAACTATCACGAGAAGTCCCCTAAGATGGCTACTCGAAATTTACTTGGAGGCATCGTGAATTGCGCCCTCCTTAAGTTGATATATAAACGGGTGAATGTCGAAGGAAAAAAAAAATAATTTTCAAAGCCTCCAACCGAGATAACAATAGTCATCGCAACGCAATAGTCATCGCAACGAAGATTTCAACAATCATTCATCACATCATGGACGCCACTTACAACGTTCTTGTCACCGGTTCGGCCGGTCATCTCGGCACGGCCCTCATGCTCGCCCTACCCGGCTTCGGCTACAAGCCGTTTGGCATCGACATTCTCGCTTCGCCCACCACCACCGCCGTCGGCAACGTCACCGACAGCGCATTCATCAGCGGCCTGCTCCGAGGCAGCAACATTACCCATATAATCCACACGGCGACCCTTCACAAGCCGCACGTCTGCAGCCACACCAAGCTGCAATTCATCGAAACCAACATCACCGGCACCATGGTGCTCCTGGAAGAAGCCGCCGCGCTGGGCCCTCAGATTCAGAGCTTCTTGTTTCTGAGCACCACGAGCACCTTTGGCACGGCTTTGAGCCCGCAGCCGGGAAAACCGGCGGCGTGGATCGACGAGGCCGTGGTCCCGCAGCCCAAGAACATTTACGGCGTCTCAAAGGTCACCGCCGAGGACTTGTGTCTGCTCATGCACCGCGAGTCGGGCCTGCCGGTGCTGGTCCTCCGCTCCAGCCGCTTCTTCACCGAGGAGGACGACGACGAAAATCGTCGCGCCGAGCTGGCCGACGCCAACCTCAAAGTGCTCGAATTCGCATACCGCCGCTGCGACTTGGAGGATCTCGTCAATGCCTGCGTCTGCGGCATGGAAAAGGCCAAGAGTATCGGTTGGGGCCGGTACATTATCAGCGCGCCGCCGCTGTTCCCGAAAGATGAAAAGATTCTCGAGGCGTTGGATACCGACCCGGCGGCGGTGCTGCGGCGCGTGGCGCCCGAGGCTGAAAAGGTGTTTGAGAAGAAGGGCTGGGGCTATCTGAATCGCATTGATCGTGTGTATGACTCGTCCAAGGCGGCGAGAGAGCTGGGCTGGAAGCCAAAGTATACATTTGCCAACATGGTGGCCATGGTGGCTCAGGGCCAGGATTGGCGGAGCGAGCTCGCCCGCAAGGTGGGCAAAAAGGGCTATCATGCAGTCACGACGGGCGTTTATACCCAGCGATGATGGTAGCCATCCCACGGAAAGTCTAGAGAACTTTCACAGTTTTCACTAGTTTAGCGGCGTATTCTTTGACATTTGTAGAAGCAAGATTAAGTACTATAAACAGAGAAAAAAAAATATTATAAATTTTAAATATTTATTTCGCTTCTACTTTAAACTCGACGACGCTACGCTTGTTCACCATGTGGCGCGGCATGGACGACAGAACAAGCTCCGCGATGCATTGTCACACCCACATTTCGATATATGAATGTTGGATTACTATAATGAATCGAGACTTGTATCACGATAAACCACGAAACTTGTATTCTAGAAAAGCCTCTCTGCTCATATGGAGCAACGCTTGAAGCTTTCACGAGGGTCCTAAACCTAGCATTGTCGCTAAAAGTTTCCGAAAACATTGGAAATACAGCTACGCAGAGATAAATAACAAAATTTGAAGAAAAAAAAGAATAAACCACTCAAACTCATAGCATCTCAGTTGTAGCATCTTACCTGACCCTAGCCCGGGCCTTGTATAAATCTGCTATCCACCCGTCATCATGTGGTTGAGTCGATGATACCCGACTACCACCGTTCGCCAGTTCAAACCCCAGATTCGGCGGCCGAACTTTTGCACATTTGAATATTCAAGAGACCGACTTTGTACATTTGCCACACAATCGGACCTGTCAGTGCGCATGGACATGGCGATGCGTTTCCACTGATTGATTGGCTGATGGCCGATGCTACCCTGCGACCAATCGAATGACACAGCGCGAGAGCGAGATATCAGGGGGTCAGTCCACGGGACATGAGCCGAATAATTTCCATATGCTGACTGTATATCTCGGGCGAACCGTCTAGATATAACTGGGCAACCTAGCTTGTCAAAAGGAATTGACCCCCCCTCCAGGCTTCACACAAGCAGCAAAAGTAGTCGCAATGCAGCTGTCAGCGCTCTTGAGCATTGCCAGCTTCGCCGCGGCAGCGCCCGCTTCCACCACATTTGCACCGTACACGGGCGGCGACACTTCTGGCTGCGGCAAGACTCACCTCTTCAACGGCCTTGCCCAGCTGCGCACCCTCAAGTCGAGCGGCCAGGACCGCCGCTACCTTGCGCACCTCCCCGCCGACTACGACGCCAAGCGGCAGTACCCTGTCATTGTCGGCTTCCACGGGTCCAGCAGCATCGGCTTCTTCTTCGCCGCCGACACGGGGCTCGACCTGCCGCGGTACACAAGTGACAAGATCACGGTGTACCCAGACGGCCTCGGCGGCGCGTGGGCCGGCGCCAACTACTCGACGGCGAGCGTCGGCGAGGATTTGCAGTTTGTGTGGGATGTGCTCGCCGACTTGCGCGGTGCGTTTTGCGTGGACAGTGCGCGAATCTACGCGACGGGACTGTCGAGCGGCGGCGGGTTTGTGAATACGGTGGCGTGCAATGCGACGGTTGGGGGCGAGTTTGCGGCGTTTGCGCCGGCGTCGGGGGCGTTTTACACGGATAATGATGATCATTTCAAGGACTGCAGGCCGGCGCGCGTGCCGACGCCGATGCTCGAGTTTCACGGCGGAGCAGACGAGTCGGTGCGGTATGACGGGGGACAAGGACAAGGCGGCATCGAGCCGTCGATTCCAAACTGGTATGTGAACCTAATCATGGGGCGTTGGGGGGGGGGTCTTGACTTTGCATCCTCAACACGTGTGACTTGGCTGGACAAATGCATTTCAAACACGTCATTGACTGATTATCTAGGCTGAAGCGATGGGCTGACCGAAATGAATGTGACACGCCCAACGAGCAGCAAGACTTGTACAATGGCGATGTGCACCACCTCAGCTGGACGTGCAAGGGCCAAGAGGGCGTGCTGCAGCATTACAAGACGGACAGCCAGAGTGAGAGAGTTTTCTTTTTTTTTTTTTTTCCCCCCGAAACTGGCATTGCTGATGGCCGGGGTGGCTGACTTGAAATACTAAAATACTAAAATAGAGCACGACTGGCCCTCTCCCTGGCCCAACTTTTCGCAGCTCGCAGCGCTGGACAAGCCGACTCACCTCGAGGCGAGTGCGCTGATTCAAGACTTTTTCATGAAATATACTCGACCGGCAAAGTCATGAATGCAAACGAATTTGGTCGATGTGATGGACATGTATCTGGGCCACGACCCGAGAGGTGCAACTGGCAAGTGCCAAATACTTGGCTCGTATTGAGAAAAAGTTACGGGTATATCAAGCCTCTCAATTTTACGCCCTATTGAATATGATCAGGAACACAGACGTGTCGTTGCTCAGAAAAATCGATACGTCGATTTGGCCCTCGAGTGTGTGTTTCTCTCCCGAGAACAATCGACAGAGCAGTCCACTTTATATCAGGCAACTCGGAGACAAGGCTTCCTGGTATAAGTGCGGCGAGCAAACATAATTCGTCCCAGGCTAGTTACAGTAATCATAGGTATATCGAGCCCGCAGCTCTCCTGCCCTGTCTTTGCTTTGAGTTGCCTGTGTATGAGCACCCTAGATCCTGTCCTGGCGTTCTTGTCGCCACACAATACTTGGTCTGATTAGACGAGTCACTTATTAAGTGAATTTAACGAGGCACTCCCCGAAGCACGTCAGGAGCGGACGGTTCGGGATCTTTTGGGTTTTGATCATGACTGATCTCCGCACAATGGCTCCTAAATATCAACGATGCCTCCACTCCTAGTCCGGTTGTTGTTTGCTTTTTTTGGGGGGGG